CTGCTGTGCATCCTGGATCTGCCGGATGACTTCCCTCCCTCCTGCTGGCAGAGTCACTATCGCCCACTGGCTGCATTGCGGGTAGTGGGTGCTCAGGAAATGTTTGTTGAATTGAGAGGAAGCCACAGCTTGTGCAGAGTCTGGATAATTCACCAGATAATTCACCAGCCGTGGGCCTCAGGGGAGGGAAACAGGAAAGACAAGTCCTGATGCACTTAGCTGGAGTTGCTATTTCTCAGTCTCTTGAGTCCCCGTTTGAGTCCTCACTTTTGCATGACCATGGTGCAAGAAGGTGCTGGGACAGAGGAAGTAGAAGATGGCAGGAAACAACCCCGAGCTGCAGGGCTGCCCCCTTGCCCCAGTTCAGGGTACACCTGAGGTCTGACCTGAGTGTGGAGGAGGGTCCCTGAAAGTGGGCTCTCTCACCCTACTGTGGGGTGAGGAGGCTGTCCCCTGCCCACCCAACCTCCCCCTTCCAGAGAGGAGGCCTTTCCAGGGACCCTCCCTTTTTCAGATGAGACCTGAGCCCTGTTCAGTCCCTGACAGCTGTGGCCTCCATTTCTCTCGGCCTCAGTCTCCTCTTCTGGAAAAGCAAAGGACTGCTGGCTGATTGCCAAAATTCCCCTGGTTTAGCCATCCTCTGAGTCTGGAGCTGTGAGTCACCTGGATGCAGACAGGGGCATGGGAAAGGGCCCAGGCCTGGACTGGCCATGCCAGCTGCTGAGGCTGCCTGCACCTGAGGAGCTGGCAGCTGCCAGCTGGAGAGGGAGGCCTGGCGAGCCACGTGTTGAGTGCTTCCAAGCCGTGCGCTCTTGCCAGGGTGGGGCAGCCTGTGGCCTGGGCAGCAGCAGGCCCAGGATAGGGCTCGCCAGCCCCAGAGACCAGGTGTAGTGCAGGAAGATAGCAGGAGCTGTACCTTCAGGTGAAAGCACGCGTGTATGTGGGAGGTGCATGTGAGGTGCAGAGAAGAACAGTCCTTGCCCTAACAGTGTCACTCCACTGGAGAGGCTGCCAAACTGCACAGCCAGTCTGCCACAAACACCAGCAACCAGGTAGGTGTCTGCCCAGAACACAGCAGACTCTTGTCTGCTTTCCCTCCTCTTCCTCTCCCCAGTCTGCCCCTCTGCTCCCAGGAGCTTTGCTCAGCATCTTCCTGCAGGGCCAGGATGCTCTGTCTTGTTCCTCATGCCTCCTGTGGCCCTTGCCCTTTGGCTGCTTCCTCTGGGGGCCCTGCCTCGTGGTGCCAGGCCCTGCTGGGCCCCAGTCTTGCCAGACCTGTCTTCTCTGGGCTCTAGGGGCCCTTTTCCTCTTTGTGGCTCAGAGCAAGTCTGGACTTCTGGCCCATCCTGGGGGTTGTTCCATCCCAGGGGCTGCTTGGAACCGTCTGGCCAGGACACAGGGCTTTCCCGGGGCTCAGGCCCTGTACTGAGCACACACACTCTCTCCCCAGGCCCAGGACTACTGGCCCTTCCTAGTGAGAGGTCGAGGGGAACCAAGTCATTGTTCTGTGGACAGCCAGGGACCAGACTGGCTGGTGAAGCTCCTGACTCCCCTTTTGGCCCCTCTGGAGATGCTGGGGCTACTTGCTGGTTGCTGGGTCTGCCAGGCTCCATCCTGCTCTGCTTCTGTGCATGTTCCTCCTTGCTCAGAGTCTTTCTATTACTTTGGCTTCCCTGAAACAAATAATTGGCTCTGTTGGCTGGCGAATTCAGGGTTCATTTCCATAGCCTGCCCCATCCTATGTCCAAGTACCCACCTTCTGGCTCTCCAGCTCCTTGTCTTCCTTCATTTCCCACCTGTAGAAACATAGCACACAGCAGGCGCTACTCCCACCCACCCCACTTCACACCGTCCACTCTGTAACAGAAGGCCCATGTTCCCCAAGAAGCAGCTAGAGTCCAAAGGTCTCAGAGGCACATCAGAGCAAGAAGCAGACTCCAGGATGCTGCCCTTTCAGCCTGACCTTGCTTTCCAAATCCAACCATTTCCTCTGAACACCACCCACCTTAGCCCCATCCAACATCCCCAGCTGCTGTTTATGTCCAAGCCTGTAGCACTTTGAGTTCTGTGGGGACTCCAGGCATGTCCCTGCCTGCGCTGCCTGGGAAAGGCATGCCTGACTTCCCAGGGGAAGATAACTGCGGTAATTACCGCCTGCCTCCCTGAGCACCAAGCTCTTGCCGTGCTGCCTTTGCTGAGAGCCTCTCCCCACATCTCATTAACCTGCCGCCAGGCAGCAGTCAGCCAGGGGGCAGAGGCCCCAGGGACTGGAGCAGGCACCTGGACCAGTGCCAGTCCTAACTTTCCAGAGGCAAGGAAGATCCAGGAAATCAGAAGCCCAGATGTACCCCTTGATTTTACCCCCTGCCACCTGTTACCTGCGGGCCCTGCCAGTCAGCCTCTCCATCCCCCGGGCTTTGCTATGTGTAGCTGGCACCACAGAGGGTCTGCTGGCTGGTCCACCTCGCACAGTACCACCTTCAAGAGATGGTCCACAAATCAAGGACGAAGATAGCCAAAGCAGCCCAAACCCTTCACCAGCTCATGGGATCCTGCTCCTCCTCCTCTCCCAACTCACCTTTGCCATCAGGGGACATTGGTGAGGGCGGGATCTTCCGGTAGCTTCTGGGACCTAAGTGGGCACAGGAAATGGGAAAGGGTAGGGTAACAAAGGGTCCAAAGCAGAAACACCAGCTCTTCCCAGACCAGGAAGCTGTTGGTCNCACATCTGTTTTACTTGCTGACATAGCTTGTGGGATTCTGCTGCCAGAAAATCTGTGTTACACTCTTTGTTCCCTTTAGTACCTAATTAAAAAAAATACAAAAACAAAACCATGTTAACCACCCACCCAGACTCTACCAGGCTCTCCATCCTACATGCAGAAACAGCCATGGCTCCCAGTGTACACCATGCATGTGAGCCACCTATCAATAAGAAGCATCCAGGCCAAACCAGTTTCTCTGTGCCCCATTCAATTCTATAAACAATATTAGGCTACTGCTAAGGGACCAGGAAAGTACTACACAGTTCTTCCCCTCAAGCCAACAAGAATCTACCCTTACTATTGCCCTGTTTTCTTCAATAATCTGACTTTTACGCTAGTTTGTCAGTTAAGCAGCAATAAGATTCTAACATTCCTTAGAATATTTTCCATAAACCACTAACATTAATTCAAGAACTAAATCGTACTTACAGTGTGTGAAGTGAGCCTCAAAAGTCCCAAAACCAACTTGTTCAGAAAAGAAATTGTGCTGATTAACAAGCATTTCCTTTTAAATATACCTCTCTCTTTTACCTCTATGTTCAGAGTCCTGAGTTGAGTCTCCCCTGACTTTGCGTCTGGGAGGCCACCTGCCCCTTCTTCTCCCTGCTGGTGGTCTAGCAGTGCTGAGTTGCATCAGGCAGTCTATGAGCCATCAGCTGCTCACAGCATCATGAGGACCTGGGCTGGGGAGACAGTGTGTTCTTGGGATGGACCCCTGAACTGGAAAACAGGAAATCTGTGGACTCAGCAATGGCACTGGTTATGGCCCTTGACCCCTCTCTTTCCTCCAGCACAAATGGTATTCATGAGAGCAAATGAAGGTCATAGATGTGACAGGGCTTAGGGATCCTGGCAATAAAAGTACAGTGCATATACATGAGGTAATATATTTTCAAGGAAATGTCTGTCCCTTTGGGCAAAAATTCATGGAAGGAAATGTGAAGGGGCAGGTAGGAAACATACCAGTGCCCAGACCATTGCATCAGCGTCACCTGGGAACTTATCAGAAGCGCCATGTTTTCTTTTCCCTCTGATTCTCTAACTTAGGGTATTCCTGTTTTGACAGATGGTTATCAAGATGCCTTTTCACCCTCTTTCTTGGTTGAAGACAAATACCCTGCTTGGCGAGAGGCAACACTGATTACATTTTTTATTCTTTTTGACATTTGCCAGAGAACGTGCCCTGGAAAGAGCCCTCCCTTTTCCTCCCCCTCCCACAAAGGTACTGATGTGTTTGCCTCACCTCCTGCCCTGGGGCCTGCTGCTCCTCGAGCCAGTCCTTAAAAGGAGCAGTGGGTGCCACATTTGTTCTTTCTGGTGCCAGGTCTGTGCTATTTCACTCCCCCAGCGTCAAGTGGATGCTTAATGAGCGGCTGTGACGTAGGCCAGCAGACTTGAGAGCAGCCTCGGTCTGCTTTACACAGGCTCTTCTCACTGCCTGTCCAGCTGCAGGGTCTTCCCACAGCAAGGTTGTGGTCACCCTGTGTCAGCCTTTCCTCGTAAGCCTTGACAGCCCTCACTCACAAAGAGGCTCGCCGGAGTCTGTGGGCACTGATAAGTGACTCGAGGAAGAAGTGAGAGCCTTAGTTTCTTCTATTCCCTTGCCCCCACTGGCTTAGTCCAGAAGAAAGAAGATAAGGCCGTATGGGGATTTTTGCCATTTCCTTTGTTGTGTTTGGAGGCTAGTAACCATCCTGTCCAACTATTCCTGTCCCTGAGGACAGGATTGGGGCAGAGTTGACTGGTGGTCAAAACCTTCCAAACTTGTGCCTTCTTTGATAGCTGGGGAGCCCCTTGTCTCCAGGGATCCCCAACTACTTGTCCCTTGAGTATAAGAAAATACAGTCATGCTGCTCTGTTGGATGAAAAGACTTAACTTGGGAAGGCCTGGAGCCAATTCACAGGGAGTTTGTTTCTGGGGAAAATATTAAAGAAGCAAAAACTGGTGGGAGTTCACAAGATTACTCCTGATGTAAACAGAAGGAAAGAGGAGCCACTGAGTTGTGAGAGCTCATGCAAAGTCGGGAAATGCGGTGGACAGCCTTGGGGTGCAGCACAGGTGAAGGCAAAGATGCCCCTGTAAGAGGAGGGTCTCTGCACTAGATTACCCAAGGGGAATAAAAGAAGCCCACGGTCCTGGAAGGCTGGGTACCAAGCTTTGTTTCTCTAGAAGCCTGTTGACCCCAGTGAAGATGAGTCTAGAAAAGAAGATAAAGGAAAAGATAGAAAACAGTGTAGACATATCACGCCAAATAGCTACTTCATTTATTCAACAAATATATATATTTGCTGATTGCCTGCTGTGTGCCAGGTATATTTTGCATACTCTTTAATTTTCTCAACAACCCTTCAGGGTAGGTACTACTAGCCTTGTTTTACAGATGAGAAAACAGACTTTTAGAGGTTAAAATTGACCAAGTTCACCCAGCTAGCAGGTGGCTGACCTAGGATTCATTTTCAGTCTACCAGATTCCAAGACCCATGTCTGTTCCACTCTACTATGCTGCCTGTCATCAAAAACACTCCTCCCTTGTGGTATGTGGCCTGCCTCTCCCCTCTGCAAGGTGGTGTGGGTCCAGGGCAGAGATGTCTTCCACCTCTTCCGCCCGTCTTGTTTTGAGGCCTTAGGTAAAGCTGTCATCCCTCTACTGGCTCCCTACCATGCTGTCTACCCTCCCTTCTCAGTTCTTCCAGCTCTGTGCTTGGATTCCTGAGAGCCACGTCTCCTGAAGGACTTCGCACCTTTGAGGAGTCGTCTAGTCTACTAATTGGTGAGGAGAAGAGCATCCAAGCACAGGCTGCCAGCCAGGCCTTTAAATAAAGGAGCCAGGAAGAGACCTGGGGATCTTCCAAGCCTTCCACGACCACCAGGTTTGTGGGCATCCCTCCTGCATCACAGCTGATTCCATCCTAGAGCAGGAAGGTGGCCACCATAGCTGCTGAATCCCTTATTCTGAAGAAGGGCTCCCCTTTTTTTGAGAAAAGCTCAGTGATAACTTGTCTTGCATTCAATCTTCCTACAATGAAGATGTCCTATGCCAGCCTCCATTCTCTCCAATCCCTAGGGACCCCTATGACATCCTTTCTCCTAATGCCCTTCTAGATGTCACCTCAGGGAGAGAAGCCTAATTTCTCCAGCCCTTCTGGCCAGCTTTCTCTCCTGTTTAGGTCCCATTGTGAGGGCTGACCTAGAGCTCTGCCCAAATTCTACATCCCCATCCCCATAGTCAAACATGCCTTGCCATACACCCTTTAATGAAGGCACATCTGTACATTTGGCAGCACTCAGGATTGGGGAGCAGTTTGTGAATCTCAGAATTCAAATTCTTGATCACAATTATTTTTGGAGACGTCTGAATTCAAGGGCTCTGCCTGAACCTGCACTACCCCAGCTCCATCCTTTGGGAGCCACGGGTTCCAGGGCCAGTACCATGCTATGATGTCCTGTATATATGCATGGAAGGCAGGAGGAAAACAGGCTTGAACTCTTTCACCCATGCCTATTCATGTGTCTCAGGGACCTTCTTCCCATAAGCATTGGAATATTCTCAAGCCTGTCCAAAATTCCTGTGGTCAACCTTACACCAATGTCTTCCTCCCCTTCATCCCATCCCATTCCCAATCAGCGTCCTTCTCCCCACTACGGGACAGTGGCAACACCCACTCACTGGCCTCTCAAATATCTTCCCAGGTGTCTGGCTTCCCACCCAGCTCTGAAGCCAAAAAGCTCCCACCCTGCATGGGGCAGCCCTCCCCCATCCCCTACAGAGACAGCAACCAGCCCTTAGAGCCTAAAGTCTATCTTTTACCCTAGCCATCCATATATTCTGGTCCAGGAACCAGCAGCATAGGTATCACCTGGAGCCTATTGATAATGCAAATTCCCAGGCCCACCCCAGACTTACTGAATTAAAATATTCATTACTCTGCATCTTAACGTGTGAAAGGCACTGCTCTAAACAACATCTGCTAAAAAGACACCCCCCTCCTTATGTTTCCTGAATATAGGGGGTGGAGGGTGGAGAGAAAGCCAGTGAGGAAACAGGCTGAAACACACACTGGCCCCAATTTAGGCCTCATTTTGACAATGAAGACATCCTGGGGATGATCTGGACACTCCCTAGGGAACCTAGAGGGCCTGGTGAGGCCTGAGACCCTCAGCAGAGAGGAGGGGAGCAGCAGGGGCCGTGGGTGTAGATCCAGACAAGGGCTTGGGAGCAGAGGGCAGACACGATGAGAAAGGGAGGAGCCCTTGCTTTGCCAGCAGAGGTGGGATGGCTCCCTGTGGGCTCCTGTTACCATTCCCAGCTCCTGCCGGGCACCTACAGCCAATAATGGCTCCTGCTGTGCATCCTGGATCTGCCGGATGACTTCCCTCCCTCCTGCTGGCAGAGTCACTATCGCCCACTGGCTGCATTGCGGGTAGTGGGTGCTCAGGAAATGTTTGTTGAATTGAGAGGAAGCCACAGCTTGTGCAGAGTCTGGATAATTCACCAGATAATTCACCAGCCGTGGGCCTCAGGGGAGGGAAACAGGAAAGACAAGTCCTGATGCACTTAGCTGGAGTTGCTATTTCTCAGTCTCTTGAGTCCCCGTTTGAGTCCTCACTTTTGCATGACCATGGTGCAAGAAGGTGCTGGGACAGAGGAAGTAGAAGATGGCAGGAAACAACCCCGAGCTGCAGGGCTGCCCCCTTGCCCCAGTTCAGGGTACACCTGAGGTCTGACCTGAGTGTGGAGGAGGGTCCCTGAAAGTGGGCTCTCTCACCCTACTGTGGGGTGAGGAGGCTGTCCCCTGCCCACCCAACCTCCCCCTTCCAGAGAGGAGGCCTTTCCAGGGACCCTCCCTTTTTCAGATGAGACCTGAGCCCTGTTCAGTCCCTGACAGCTGTGGCCTCCATTTCTCTCGGCCTCAGTCTCCTCTTCTGGAAAAGCAAAGGACTGCTGGCTGATTGCCAAAATTCCCCTGGTTTAGCCATCCTCTGAGTCTGGAGCTGTGAGTCACCTGGATGCAGACAGGGGCATGGGAAAGGGCCCAGGCCTGGACTGGCCATGCCAGCTGCTGAGGCTGCCTGCACCTGAGGAGCTGGCAGCTGCCAGCTGGAGAGGGAGGCCTGGCGAGCCACGTGTTGAGTGCTTCCAAGCCGTGCGCTCTTGCCAGGGTGGGGCAGCCTGTGGCCTGGGCAGCAGCAGGCCCAGGATAGGGCTCGCCAGCCCCAGAGACCAGGTGTAGTGCAGGAAGATAGCAGGAGCTGTACCTTCAGGTGAAAGCACGCGTGTATGTGGGAGGTGCATGTGAGGTGCAGAGAAGAACAGTCCTTGCCCTAACAGTGTCACTCCACTGGAGAGGCTGCCAAACTGCACAGCCAGTCTGCCACAAACACCAGCAACCAGGTAGGTGTCTGCCCAGAACACAGCAGACTCTTGTCTGCTTTCCCTCCTCTTCCTCTCCCCAGTCTGCCCCTCTGCTCCCAGGAGCTTTGCTCAGCATCTTCCTGCAGGGCCAGGATGCTCTGTCTTGTTCCTCATGCCTCCTGTGGCCCTTGCCCTTTGGCTGCTTCCTCTGGGGGCCCTGCCTCGTGGTGCCAGGCCCTGCTGGGCCCCAGTCTTGCCAGACCTGTCTTCTCTGGGCTCTAGGGGCCCTTTTCCTCTTTGTGGCTCAGAGCAAGTCTGGACTTCTGGCCCATCCTGGGGGTTGTTCCATCCCAGGGGCTGCTTGGAACCGTCTGGCCAGGACACAGGGCTTTCCCGGGGCTCAGGCCCTGTACTGAGCACACACACTCTCTCCCCAGGCCCAGGACTACTGGCCCTTCCTAGTGAGAGGTCGAGGGGAACCAAGTCATTGTTCTGTGGACAGCCAGGGACCAGACTGGCTGGTGAAGCTCCTGACTCCCCTTTTGGCCCCTCTGGAGATGCTGGGGCTACTTGCTGGTTGCTGGGTCTGCCAGGCTCCATCCTGCTCTGCTTCTGTGCATGTTCCTCCTTGCTCAGAGTCTTTCTATTACTTTGGCTTCCCTGAAACAAATAATTGGCTCTGTTGGCTGGCGAATTCAGGGTTCATTTCCATAGCCTGCCCCATCCTATGTCCAAGTACCCACCTTCTGGCTCTCCAGCTCCTTGTCTTCCTTCATTTCCCACCTGTAGAAACATAGCACACAGCAGGCGCTACTCCCACCCACCCCACTTCACACCGTCCACTCTGTAACAGAAGGCCCATGTTCCCCAAGAAGCAGCTAGAGTCCAAAGGTCTCAGAGGCACATCAGAGCAAGAAGCAGACTCCAGGATGCTGCCCTTTCAGCCTGACCTTGCTTTCCAAATCCAACCATTTCCTCTGAACACCACCCACCTTAGCCCCATCCAACATCCCCAGCTGCTGTTTATGTCCAAGCCTGTAGCACTTTGAGTTCTGTGGGGACTCCAGGCATGTCCCTGCCTGCGCTGCCTGGGAAAGGCATGCCTGACTTCCCAGGGGAAGATAACTGCGGTAATTACCGCCTGCCTCCCTGAGCACCAAGCTCTTGCCGTGCTGCCTTTGCTGAGAGCCTCTCCCCACATCTCATTAACCTGCCGCCAGGCAGCAGTCAGCCAGGGGGCAGAGGCCCCAGGGACTGGAGCAGGCACCTGGACCAGTGCCAGTCCTAACTTTCCAGAGGCAAGGAAGATCCAGGAAATCAGAAGCCCAGATGTACCCCTTGATTTTACCCCCTGCCACCTGTTACCTGCGGGCCCTGCCAGTCAGCCTCTCCATCCCCCGGGCTTTGCTATGTGTAGCTGGCATCACAGAGGGTCTGCTGGCTGGTCCACCTCGCACAGTACCACCTTCAAGAGATGGTCCACAAATCAAGGACGAAGATAGCCAAAGCAGCCCAAACCCTTCACCAGCTCATGGGATCCTGCTCCTCCTCCTCTCCCAACTCACCTTTGCCATCAGGGGACATTGGTGAGGGCGGGATCTTCCGGTAGCTTCTGGGACCTAAGTGGGCACAGGAAATGGGAAAGGGTAGGGTAACAAAGGGTCCAAAGCAGAAACACCAGCTCTTCCCAGACCAGGAAGCTGTTGGTCCTTTTCTTGGTCCAGTTGTGGGTCTTCTGGCTCCCAGGAAGAGCCCTGGTCTTGGGATCAGGAGACCTGGGTCCCTATGCTTGTTTTGCCACTCCCGGCTGGGTGACTGGCCAAGCCTCCCCAGCCGGTTTCCCCATGTGCAAAAATAAGGGGGCCAGCAACTCAGAGCTCAATTCGTAAGAGTTAAGGGGCAGGGAAACTAGAGCTTTCATCCATGAGCAAGTAACACCTTCTGGGGCAGGAGCTGTGGGTCTGATGGGTGGGAAGGGTGCCCTTCTGTGATAGGGAGAGGAAGGCAGATATTACTCCATGCTACCTTCGAGCTCTGAAAATAAGCAGTCAGCCAAGAAACAGAGGAAAGAGGAAGAGGAGGACAAGAGAAAAAAAAAGTCAAGGAGGGGAAGGGGATAAGGTGCATGTGGACTCACCCCTGGTAGTGCCCACCCTGGCTGAGCCCTCTTCCTGAGGCTTGCCAGTATCCTGTTGCCTGTGGAGACAGAGAGAGGGAATCGGGCTGCTGGTGCAAGGAGAACAGAGGCTGCAGCAAGAACCACACTGCCTTCCCCAGCCCCCACCCCAGAACTGAAGGCAGCAGGGAAACAGTGGGCCCCTGAAAGACGGCGACCCAGTGCCCACACAGAGCCCTGAGCTCAAGGCGTGATCAGAAGGCCCAGGCAGATCCTCACAGCCCTCCCAAGAGCACCCACAGCTAGCCACACCCAAACATGTCATCCCAACAAGCTGTCCAGCACTGCCACCCACATGGGCTTGGCCTTGTCCAGGTCCCATGGACGGCGCCAGTCACCCTGTGCATCTCTGTGCCGGGCGAGGCGGGCCAGGTCGATCTGCTCCCGCTCCTGCTTCCACTGGGCATAGTCCCAGCCCATCACCTGGGGCCTCCCAGCTGGCCAGCAGAGAGCTGAGCCTGGGACTGAGCCTGGACGCTGGGGCTCACAAGTTCCCTGCAAGGAAAAGACACTCAGCACTAAGGGGAAGAAGCAGAAAAAGCCCTGGGTTTGGAATGGAAATCCAAAGTCTACTAACCCCTTCCTCTCTCAGGGTTTCGACGTCCCCATCTAAAACTTAGATCTGTTCCATCTCTAACATGCAGTTTGCCATAGGCACGGTTTCCATCGAATTGGTAGTTGCATCTTTGGGGCAAGTTACTTAACCTCTCTGTAACATTTCGTCATCTGTAAAATGGGGGTAATAATAGCACCTATCCACAGGGTTGTTGCAGGAGGAGTGTGTGGACTGGCCCAGGATGGAGAGGCACCCAGCAGCTGTGAGGAACAGCCAGGACTAGGGACTGCTGCCACCTAGAGGTCACACCTGGCACATGGCCAGTCCCTTACACCCTCCAGGCCCACAGCAAGGGCTCCACCCACTTCCGCCCAGCGATACAGGTAAAGTAAGGGGCTGGAGCACACCTCTAGCTTACCCTGACTCTCACTGCAAGGCCCACCCAATGTGGAGACTGGCCAGAGCAAGGAAGAAGGGATGGGTGCTGCCTGGGCTGTGTAGGGGATGGGGGACATAGATGGGGAACATATGTGACTCAGCTCCTCTGTCTCTCCCCAGTAGGGACCACCACATCCATGCCCCCATCCCCTCTTGAAGATGCACCTTCTGTGTAGAGTCTGAGGTGCCAGGCATTTGCACAGAAGAGCTCCGGCCCAAGCCCCCTCCAGGTGATCCTTCAGCCCCCTGGTTCCTTGCTCTGGCAGGCTTCTCACTTACAATCCGCTTGGCCTGGGGAAGATGAAGATAGGAACGAGGCAGAGCTGGGGAGGAAGAGGCCACCCCCACTGGCTCTGAGTTTCCCCACTGACCCTGCTCACCTCAGCTTTGTTTTCCATGGTCACGGCCAGCTCCACCCGTTCCCCCAAGCAGAAAGTACCCGTGTGGTCCTCAGCCGCCTCATCCTCAAGCATCTCATTGGCTGCTCCAGGTCCAAGGGCACACCTTGTCCAGTTCTGGCTGACCACCCGCTTCTCCTGCAGAAGGAGGTTGCCATGCCCTCAGGTCACGTGGGCAGCGCTGGGCAGGAATTAGAGGCTGGGCCCTTTCGGTGGTTCCCTAGGCTGGGTTCCAGCCCCCATCCTCCCTGGAATACCCACAGAGTAGGTGACTCCATGGTACATTCACATGCCAGTGGTGTTAGGTTATCCAGGGCCTTGGGCCACACAGTGACCCGAGATGCCACAGCGGCCCGTCATCTCTGAGCTGGGAAATCCAGCAGACAATGGGGCTTTGTCCCTCAGACATTGTTCCTGGCACTTGGCCCCACTTCTCTGTCCCCCTGGGGCTTGGGGCTTAGGAGCCGGCAGTGCTTTGGGGCATAGGTACAGAGCTGTGGGGCTGGAAAAGGCCCCGTGCCGGTGGCCTCTCAGCAGGGGCCTGCACTGCATGAGGTCAGGAGCTGGAGGGTGGTCCCAAGAACTGTAAGTGTGAGAGGAAGAGGGGCAGGGGCAGCTGTCCTCCTCTGGCACGGCTAGCCTTCCACCGCCTTGCCGCCCCACCCTGTCTCCCTGCTGGGCCTTACGCCAGGAGCCTGGCTGATGGTGACAGTGAGGCCATCGGGTTGGAGGAGTTCCTGTGTGCTCACAGCCATGCCTCCCAGCTCCGCCTGCCGACGGTCTTCTTGGATCTCCTGTGGGAGGGTCCCAGGTCAGCACAAGCCATGGCCCCCCAGATTCAAGAGACAGACACCGACAGGCCTACACAGAGAGATGGCGGCAGGACACCAGGGGGCAGAGTCATCACGGAAGCCCCAAGGCCCTCACAGAGCCTCTGAGATGGACCCTACCCACCATAACTGGGGCCCCAGGCCCAGAGACTGCCATGCAGGGGTCTGCAGCCAGACAGGAGTGCCAACCCATGCAGTCCTCCTAGCCCCCATCACAGCCCACTCACCTGGTACCTGCGTAGTAAGGCCTGGTTCTTCTTGCGAAGAGCAACTATCCTCCGGTCCAGCTCTGCATCCTTCTCTTCCTGCCTGCTCATGGGTGACTCGGTCCCGTAAAGCCCCTGCAGAGGGCCGGGGGCAAAGCTCCTGACTGCTGGGCCCATTCTTACCAGTTCTCCAACTTGCACATCTGCCTGGCCAGCCATATTCCACCACCCAAGGAGCAGACCCCAGGCCCAGGGCTAGGGCCACAAGGGGAGATGGCACACGGAGGGCTCCAAGGCTTGTCTGCCCAGCCTGCTGCCTCCTCAGGGGCTCAGGGCAGGGCCTCCCACCCAGCAGTGGGCTGCCCCTCCCCCAGCTCTCCAGGGAGCTCCACTGCTGAGCAGAGGCTGGAATGGGAGTTATAAATGGCTCTGGCAGAGGAACCTGCTGTGACTGGGAAATTGCCAGGGGATTCAGGAGGTTGAGGGGAGAGCCGTTTGGCTCCCAGACCCAGAACCACAGTAAAAAGAGAGGCCCCTGCTTTTTCCTGGGCTCCTAGGCCTTGGACCCCACTCCCCAGCCCTGTGCCCAGCCTGTGGAAAAGGGCTGCTCCCATGGGCCCAGCCTCTCCAGGCCATGAGCTGCTGGTAGTTGGGTCAGGAGAGAGCCAGTTCTGTGGGCAGGCCCAACTGGGTCACTCCCCTGAGCAAGCCATGCCTCTGCACAGAGATCCCCAGGTCTCTCCCTGTCTGGCTGCAGGGTGTCAGTTACAGCCAATGCCCCTGCCCAGCCCCCTGCCCGCCTAGGTATAGCCCTCTTCTTCCCAGGCCCAGCTGTCCCCAGCTGCCCCCAGAATATGGCTGCCTCCTGTCCCAGCCCCCTCCCAGCACCAAAAAGCCCCCCACCCCCACCAAAAACAAGGTGCCACTCACAGCCAAGTGCATGGCAATGGCGGGCACCAAGAGAATTCCAGAGCAGCACCAAGCGAGCCAGAGTAGAAGGGAAGCCGGAGCTGCCGGAGCCGGGCCTCTGCCGGCCTTTCCCTGCCTGCTTTACTGCTCAGCACACGAGATCATGTTGTGATTACAAAAGACTCCTCTGGGCTCCTAGCCAGGAATGCCGTATCCACCCCCCTCCCCCCCCATCCACTCTCAGAGGGTGAGGATCAGGGCACCAGCAGCCAGCTGGCCCTGCCCAGCACCTCTCCCTGCTCTGCCCTGGTGTCCCTAGGCAGACTGGCAGGAACATCTCCCTGACAGGTTGGGCCACACAGGGGTCTTGGCTGTCCCAGGCCCTGCCTTCCCCAAAGCCTGGGCCTGCTTGCAGACAGATGGGCAGCCAACATAGACCTCTGTCCATCTCATTTATAGAGAATGGCCTACAGGATGAAGCCCAGCCCAGCAGGTTCCCTGGTCTGAGGCCCCCACCTGGAATGAGCCTCCTCTCATTGTCATCAACAGCACTGGTTTAAGTAATTCCAAGGGATCAAGAAACTCAACTCCCCTAGGCCACTAAATACTACTGCATACCTAAAATTACACCATTAGTTATTCATTCCTTTAGGTTGAACACTGTCTTCCCTGTATTTGAAAGTACAGCCATTCCTGAAAGTCTCAGCTATTGGAGTCTCCCCTTGGTGTGGGGAGCTGGGCCTTCCTGCAGGGCCTCTGCCACCACAGCTCAGAGCTGGCCAACTGCCTTCCCTACTTGGGATATTAACTCTGGGCCCTTCCCATCCCTGCTGTCCAAGGACGGCCCTTTCAGCTTCTCCAACCTTGCAAAAAGAGGTAGCCTTTCTCAGGGAAGTCTCTCACCAAATCTTCCCAGTACGGCTGAAACTGGTCCCTCTGCCCAGAGGAGCAGCTCGTCTGTCAGTCCCACTCTGAGGGCCAACCTGGGGCTTGGGAATGTTGGGAGGAGGAATGGTCTCTGTATTAGGAGTGCTGGGGGTTACAGCACCCTGACCTCAGACCCTAAGGGACATGTCAGATGTCCCTTCGTTCCCCACATCCCTAATTGACCCGGCCTGTTTCCCTAATCCCATGCCATGACTTGTCTGTCTCTAGAGCAGAAAGTCCTGCTGGCCGCTGTCTCCTCCCTAGACCAGCCCAGGCAGCCAGAGGTCCAATCTCTGCTCTCCTTGAACTACCCCTTTCTGTCTGCCCTCCCCTCCCCATCACACAGCCTCTTTCCTGGCCAGGCCTTTGCACAGCATCCCTGACCCCACACCCGATCTCTGCGGCCCCAGAGTTCCCATCCTACTTGGAAATGCCACTGCGTTCTCTGTGCCTTTCCTGCCGGATGTTCCCACTGAGTCAGACTCATCTACTTTCTCAGCAACTGTGACGCACCCAGGCTCCTCGCCCTGCACCTCTCTCTCACACACACTCAGTCTTCTTCCCACCTTCTCCACGTGATACCTCACACAGGCTGCTAAGTTCCAGCCTGGCCTTTGAATGCCAGGGGCAGGGGCCTGGTGGGGTGGCAGTCAAGCTTCCCTTCACCTGCCCCACACCATGGTGTTGGAGCTGGGAGGTCCCACAAAGCACCAGCCTGCAACAAGGAGAGGCAGTTGAGACCTATTGTTCTCTCTCATCTTTGGAACCCAGGCTCCCAAACCAAGTCTGGGGAGAAGGGGAGTAGATAGAGGAGGCTGCAGGGGCAAGGCAAGGCCTGCCTGTCCCCCTTGCTCCTATTCCCAGCCAAGGTGGGGTCAAGACAGTAGCACAGAGCAGCAGGAGGCACAGGTAGAAATCTAGCCATCCGGTAGAGCGGGTGACCCAGCTCTTCCAGAAAGGCTTGCAAGGAGAGATTCCCTTAACCTAGTGGCAGAGCCTCCCCGCCCATCAGGCTGGAGGCCCACGTGCCCAGAGCAAAGCAACAAACACTCAGACAGGTCCCTACAGTGGCTAGCCATGTGCTTCCCAAGTGTTACACAATATGTCACACCTCAGAGCAGCCCCCACACTCTCCTATTTTTCCCAGAGTCTGTGGTTTGCCTGTCTGCTCCTCCACTGGCCAGAGGCCCTCTGAGGGCAGGAGTGGTGTGCCAAGCAACTCTAGATTCCCAGGGCATGGCATAATGCGCTCTCAAACCACAGACTCTTCCTCAGCATTTGCAGAATGAATACATGGGTGAAAAACCAGTACTATCCTGTGCACAGATGTAGGTGTCCTTTGCATAGGTGGTGCCTTTCTCTCACCCAGGATGCACACAGCAGGAGGGAGGCGGTGGGTGATAAAGACCCTTAAGTTGAATCGCCCTTCCCTCTCTGGGGGCTGGGGTAGGGAGATGAGCAGCATGATCTTCCTGGTGAGAGCATATCTCTGTTACTGCATGCCACCACCAGAGGGCAGCAGACTTACAAAGCCTGGTAGCGGGGTGGGCGTGGGGAGCTCTTCCCCCTTTCCCCTCCTGCTCCCCAGCTCCTCTCGCTCAAATCTCTGTAATCTTCACCTCCCAACTCCACCAGAAGAGAGAAGCTATGCAGTTGTGGAAGCATTATTTTATTGATGGGGAGGCCCAGAGAGGTAACACCATTTGGGCTATGCAGCCTGATTGGGACACAGATGAGACTGGGAGGCAGGGTGCCTGTCTCCCTGCCTGGCACTCTTTTCCCTGGCTGCCCAACAGTAATGCTGTTTCCACTGAGACTCCACTCTGTGCCGCCTTCTGTCCCCCAGGGGTTGGGCCCATTGTCTCCACACCTCGGCCACGGGTCCAGGTCATGTCCCTTCCCTGGCTGGTCCCCCACCTCAGGTGGCTGCCAGCTGGGTCCATAGCCCCACACCTGGGGTGGACCATATTTGGACAGTATTCATATCCATGGTACACAGACCAAAAGCAACCCTTTGGACAAGATGCCTGCAAGTGTGGGGATCCTCACTGAGGTGGGGGGAAAAAGAGGGAGGACCCCAGGTGAGGAAAGAACCCCAGGCCCGCAAACTGAGACTGGGGACACAGACCTGGCAGAGGCGCATGTGGCCTGCACTACTCAGACCTCATTCACTATTTCCAGAATAGCTGCTCATGCTAAGGGTTGAATAAAATATAAGTACTCAGGCCCTTGCCCTTTTTCAACCTTGTCATAAAATGAAGCAGAGTGGGATGGTGGATTCCAATTAACTTCACCCTTCACTGGCTGTATGACTTTAGGTAAGCCCCTTATCTCTCTGGTCCTCATCTGTAAAATGAGGTGGGCCTACTTCACTGAGTCATTGGCAGTTGATAGGAAATACCACGGTAACATCCTTATCTGGAACAATGTGTGACCTAGAGTAAAGCTCAAAATAGTTTTCTTCTTGCCTCAGGTAACTGTAATAGCCCCCCTTCTGGATGTTCCCAGCACAGCATCCTTTGAGGGGCCCAAAGACTACCTCCCACCAGTCTGCTGGGGCCTAAACACATTGCAGACTTTTGGGGCAAGGGGACCATTTGTGACCTGGTGGTGAAGATCCTGAGGTACCCCCTCAGCATCCTCTCTGTGCCTCCCTGTTAACTCCTGCCCAGCAAATCTTGCAAGGGCAGGTTCCTGACACCCCCTCCAGGGAGTCTTCCTTGACTGCTCCCCTCCCCATGCTTGTCCCTTCTGAAGCCCCATGCTTCAGAGCTGCCATACCTCTCCATTAGCACCAGTGCTCCTGGAAGCAGTCCCTGTGCTCCACCTGCCCCTGGGTCCCACTGGGCCCATCCCCAGGCTCACATCCCACTGCCCAGGAACTGTTCTTGTTGGCTAGGGCTGAGCCCTTAGAGGTCACTGGTGCCCCTTGCCAGTTCTGGGTGGGTGAATAAGTGTTGAGGAAGAGGCTGGATTGCATAAGAGCTCAGCCACTTAGAAGGTGGCCTTACAGATGGGAAGGGGCAAGAGAATGGCTTAAAGCACAGTGTTTCTTTCCCTCAAACCCATTCTTGATTACTCTCCACCACAGCCATTCCTGGCTCAAGAAACTGCTGCCCTGACTCCTACTGACTAGAGGTCTATGTGCAGGCCTCTCAGGTCAGGCTAGGCCTGGACCTAGCTGGGGAGGACTCAAAGTACATGCAGTAGGGCCAGAGGGACCAGCCCCAGGCAGGCACCAGCTGCCAGGAACAGCCTGGCCCTGCCTCTCCCAAGAACACACATGCCAGAGCAGGGTGGGGCCAAAACACTCTGAAGCATCAGGAGGCAGAAGGAAGGCTGGGGCCCCACTTCTCCATTCTCCACTCCAGAGCACACCCAGGCCCAGCACTAGGTGAACTCCAGTGTGTAACAGAACCCCTGATGTCTTCCTTGCTTAGGGCTTTCTCCACAGAGGGTGCAAAGGTGACTCAAGGGTTTTCCCAGGACCCCCGCCCCCAGGCCCCTAGCCCAGAGCTGCCTGCAACCAGAGGCTGAGGGATGCCCCTGCCAGGGCTGGCTTACATTAGCAGGGCAGCCACTGTGGCTTCCCCTGGCTGAGGCAACAATGGCCAGGAGGTGAAGACCCAGGCCCGGCGGCAGAGGCACTTGCCCAAACCATGCTGCGTTAGCCTGGGGCCAAGGCGCACAGCTCAGACCAGCCGAGGGGTTCTGCATGAGATGAGCCTCAAGGGGATGAGCAAGCCGTGGTAAGGAGGTAGCAGTGAGGGCATTCTGTGAATGTATCATGGCAAGTGGTGGTGGCATTTAGCAGCAAGAGAACATTAGATTAAGAAGGTAATCCAGTGAGGTCCCTGAAGAGTAGACTGAGGGGGTAAAGTGCAGAAGGGCATCTGACTCACTGAAGATTTTATAGCTGTCACTGAGGCAGCCACGCCGGGGGTTAGGTGGCCATGCTGCAGCAGCCAGCATGGGTCAGCCGGTGAGACTGGAGACAGCACACAGCAGGAGGCTGTTTCAAGACCCTGGAGGGAGAGGTCTGCCGGGCAGAGGGTGAGCAGGGGAGCCTCAGGAGGCCTCAGAGCATCAGCGTGGCCAGGGGTGGGCACAGTGGGAAGGGGAGGGGCCAAGGCAGCGTAGAGGAATGGGAGGTCCCACAAAGCACCAGCCTGCAACAAGGAGAGGCAGTTGAGACCTATTGTTCTCTCTCATCTTTGGAACCCAGGCTCCCAAACCAAGTCTGGGGAGAAGGGGAGTAGATAGAGGAGGCTGCAGGGGCAAGGCAAGGCCTGCCTGTCCCCCTTGCTCCTATTCCCAGCCAAGGTGGGGTCAAGACAGTAGCACAGAGCAGCAGGAGGCACAGGTAGAAATCTAGCCATCCGGTAGAGCGGGTGACCCAGCTCTTCCAGAAAGGCTTGCAAGGAGAGATTCCCTTAACCTAGTGGCAGAGCCTCCCCGCCCATCAGGCTGGAGGCCCACGTGCCCAGAGCAAAGCAACAAACACTCAGACAGGTCCCTACAGTGGCTAGCCATGTGCTTCCCAAGTGTTACACAATATGTCACACCTCAGAGCAGCCCCCACACTCTCCTATTTTTCCCAGAGTCTGTGGTTTGCCTGTCTGCTCCTCCACTGGCCAGAGGCCCTCTGAGGGCAGGAGTGGTGTGCCAAGCAACTCTAGATTCCCAGGGCATGGCATAATGCGCTCTCAAACCACAGACTCTTCCTCAGCATTTGCAGAATGAATACATGGGTGAAAAACCAGTACTATCCTGTGCACAGATGTAGGTGTCCTTTGCATAGGTGGTGCCTTTCTCTCACCCAGGATGCACACAGCAGGAGGGAGGCGGTGGGTGATAAAGACCCTTAAGTTGAATCGCCCTTCCCTCTCTGGGGGCTGGGGTAGGGAGATGAGCAGCATGATCTTCCTGGTGAGAGCATATCTCTGTTACTGCATGCCACCACCAGAGGGCAGCAGACTTACAAAGCCTGGTAGCGGGGTGGGCGTGGGGAGCTCTTCCCCCTTTCCCCTCCTGCTCCCCAGCTCCTCTCGCTCAAATCTCTGTAATCTTCACCTCCCAACTCCACCAGAAGAGAGAAGCTATGCAGTTGTGGAAGCATTATTTTATTGATGGGGAGGCCCAGAGAGGTAACACCATTTGGGCTATGCAGCCTGATTGGGACACAGATGAGACTGGGAGGCAGGGTGCCTGTCTCCCTGCCTGGCACTCTTTTCCCTGGCTGCCCAACAGTAATGCTGTTTCCACTGAGACTCCACTCTGTGCCGCCTTCTGTCCCCCAGGGGTTGGGCCCATTGTCTCCACACCTCGGCCACGGGTCCAGGTCATGTCCCTTCCCTGGCTGGTCCCCCACCTCAGGTGGCTGCCAGCTGGGTCCATAGCCCCACACCTGGGGTGGACCATATTTGGACAGTATTCATATCCATGGTACACAGACCAAAAGCAACCCTTTGGACAAGATGCCTGCAAGTGTGGGGATCCTCACTGAGGTGGGGGGAAAAAGAGGGAGGACCCCAGGTGAGGAAAGAACCCCAGGCCCGCAAACTGAGACTGGGGACACAGACCTGGCAGAGGCGCATGTGGCCTGCACTACTCAGACCTCATTCACTATTTCCAGAATAGCTGCTCATGCTAAGGGTTGAATAAAATATAAGTACTCAGGCCCTTGCCCTTTTTCAACCTTGTCATAAAATGAAGCAGAGTGGGATGGTGGATTCCAATTAACTTCACCCTTCACTGGCTGTATGACTTTAGGTAAGCCCCTTATCTCTCTGGTCCTCATCTGTAAAATGAGGTGGGCCTACTTCACTGAGTCATTGGCAGTTGATAGGAAATACCACGGTAACATCCTTATCTGGAACAATGTGTGACCTAGAGTAAAGCTCAAAATAGTTTTCTTCTTGCCTCAGGTAACTGTAATAGCCCCCCTTCTGGATGTTCCCAGCACAGCATCCTTTGAGGGGCCCAAAGACTACCTCCCACCAGTCTGCTGGGGCCTAAACACATTGCAGACTTTTGGGGCAAGGGGACCATTTGTGACCTGGTGGTGAAGATCCTGAGGTACCCCCTCAGCATCCTCTCTGTGCCTCCCTGTTAACTCCTGCCCAGCAAATCTTGCAAGGGCAGGTTCCTGACACCCCCTCCAGGGAGTCTTCCTTGACTGCTCCCCTCCCCATGCTTGTCCCTTCTGAAGCCCCATGCTTCAGAGCTGCCATACCTCTCCATTAGCACCAGTGCTCCTGGAAGCAGTCCCTGTGCTCCACCTGCCCCTGGGTCCCACTGGGCCCATCCCCAGGCTCACATCCCACTGCCCAGGAACTGTTCTTGTTGGCTAGGGCTGAGCCCTTAGAGGTCACTGGTGCCCCTTGCCAGTTCTGGGTGGGTGAATAAGTGTTGAGGAAGAGGCTGGATTGCATAAGAGCTCAGCCACTTAGAAGGTGGCCTTACAGATGGGAAGGGGCAAGAGAATGGCTTAAAGCACAGTGTTTCTTTCCCTCAAACCCATTCTTGATTACTCTCCACCACAGCCATTCCTGGCTCAAGAAACTGCTGCCCTGACTCCTACTGACTAGAGGTCTATGTGCAGGCCTCTCAGGTCAGGCTAGGCCTGGACCTAGCTGGGGAGGACTCAAAGTACATGCAGTAGGGCCAGAGGGACCAGCCCCAGGCAGGCACCAGCTGCCAGGAACAGCCTGGCCCTGCCTCTCCCAAGAACACACATGCCAGAGCAGGGTGGGGCCAAAACACTCTGAAGCATCAGGAGGCAGAAGGAAGGCTGGGGCCCCACTTCTCCATTCTCCACTCCAGAGCACACCCAGGCCCAGCACTAGGTGAACTCCAGTGTGTAACAGAACCCCTGATGTCTTCCTTGCTTAGGGCTTTCTCCACAGAGGGTGCAAAGGTGACTCAAGGGTTTTCCCAGGACCCCCGCCCCCAGGCCCCTAGCCCAGAGCTGCCTGCAACCAGAGGCTGAGGGATGCCCCTGCCAGGGCTGGCTTACATTAGCAGGGCAGCCACTGTGGCTTCCCCTGGCTGAGGCAACAATGGCCAGGAGGTGAAGACCCAGGCCCGGCGGCAGAGGCACTTGCCCAAACCATGCTGCGTTAGCCTGGGGCCAAGGCGCACAGCTCAGACCAGCCGAGGGGTTCTGCATGAGATGAGCCTCAAGGGGATGAGCAAGCCGTGGTAAGGAGGTAGCAGTGAGGGCATTCTGTGAATGTATCATGGCAAGTGGTGGTGGCATTTAGCAGCAAGAGAACATTAGATTAAGAAGGTAATCCAGTGAGGTCCCTGAAGAGTAGACTGAGGGGGTAAAGTGCAGAAGGGCATCTGACTCACTGAAGATTTTATAGCTGTCACTGAGGCAGCCACGCCGGGGGTTAGGTGGCCATGCTGCAGCAGCCAGCATGGGTCAGCCGGTGAGACTGGAGACAGCACACAGCAGGAGGCTGTTTCAAGACCCTGGAGGGAGAGGTCTGCCGGGCAGAGGGTGAGCAGGGGAGCCTCAGGAGGCCTCAGAGCATCAGCGTGGCCAGGGGTGGGCACAGTGGGAAGGGGAGGGGCCAAGGCAGCGTAGAGGACCCTCTTGAACGTGGGGAGCAGGCGGGGCTTGCCTGCTTGCTGCTCCTTCCTCTGGGCAGGCGGCTGGAAGGCTGGCATGGGACAGACAGGTCCTCCCTCGCTGGAAGCTCATCACAGGGGCCTTTTGTGCGGGTGAGGTATGGTGGTGTCACACCGTCTAGGGGGGAGGAAAAGGTCTGGCAGTTTTGCAGGGTGAGAAGGACAAGCCCAACAGAAGATGGAGGGATTGGTGAAAGCTGGTCATCAGCTGAGAAGAGGGAAGGGCCTTTGGAAGGGCGGAGGGTGCACGCCCCTTGCCAGCCTCCAGGGGAGAGGACAGCCAGGGACACATGACCAAGGAAAGATGAAGCAGTCTGGGGGTGGACAGGGAAGTAGGGTGGCCAGCTGTCTCGGGACTGGGACTTGCCTGGAACCGACCCCATCCACTGCAGGTCCTGCATCTGGAACACCCCTCAGTCCTCTGCAAATCTGGATGTTTGGTCGCCTTAGGGGGAGAGAGGGTATTGCAAGAGGCTGGGGCAGGGAGGGAACCTCTCAGGAGCCTGTCTGTGAAATGCTCAGTGATGTGGCCCATCCCCCAGAATGATCCCAATGTGGGCAAGGGAACGAGTGAGGAGGCCAGGAAACAAACAGGTCATCAGTGCTAAACTCTAAAACCTCACACTTAGATCTAACACTGCCAAAGCCCTCACAGGCGTGATGTGATTTGATTTTGGCAAGCTTTGAAATCTGTGAATTAGCCCAGGCAGGTGTCATTAGCTTCTCTTTGAAGATCAGGGTCATGACCTGGCCAGGCGTCGTGTGGTAGGCTGGCGCTTCTCCACTGCACCTGCCCTGGATCACTGAGCCTCTTGCTCCCGCCCTGCAGCTCTCTCTCCAGCCCATGCCCAGGGCCAGCCATCTTTGCCCTCTCACTGTGAAAAACTTGTCCACCCAAACCAGGTAAGGTTGCCTAACTGTCCTGCCTCTCTCCCCTCACCACAGGGCAGCCCAGGAGCAGGGGCCTGGCTGGCTCTGCCAACTGGGATTGGGAGGCCACGAGGCATCCTGCCTTCTGGCATCACTATCAGACCCTGACTGCACAGAGAGTGAGAGCAGAACCTCAAGGCCAGGGCACTGGGTCCCACTGCACACCCCAGCCCTGCAGCCCCACTTTCCCCCTTGGGGGTCCTTGAAGACATAGGCATCTTCTTTCAGCTTCCTGCCAAAGGCTGGATATGGAGGTGGGGAGATCACATCTTCAGGATCCCCGATGGGGAAAAGGAGGATTTCTGGAAGAGGCGGGCTTGGAGGGCTGGTAAAGACAGACATGGGTGAACGCAGGTCATGCCAGGCTCACTGCAGGCATCTCACCTTTGTAAACTCCCTTGGCCCTCCACCCTCTGTGCCCTGGCTCCCTGGAGGCTGCAGCAAATGTGTGCACGGTGGATGCATGATTCCCCACCTCCTCATGAACCAAAGTCCTCTGCCCATAATGTTACCAAAGCAGGCTGAAATTTTTCAGAACATTCCTGAAAGGAGAGACAATGTGGAAATGGGGCTGCCTGAGTGACCTCAGGCAATTCTTAACTTCTCTGAATCCTGACTTTTTTGAATCTGTAAAAGAGAAGATAATACCTACCTCCAAGAGCCAATATATGTGATACTGTAAAAGAACCTGACACACAGATACACTCTCCTTTCCTGCCCACCATGGATATAAAGGGAGACTCACTCTTTTTCCTTTGCATAATTTTTCAAATCGTGTCAATTGTGGTTATGTTGTTTCTGTTTTCACAGCTCTAAATGAACCCAAATCAACATACTCCAAAGTGCAGGGATCATGCAGTTCGATGAGTTTTGCCATGTGAATACTCCATGAAACCCTCCCTACTCCCACCCTGCTGTCCCCAGGCAGCCACTGATCTCTGTCATTATCAGTTCATGTTTTCTAGAATTTCAAAAAATTCTAAAATTTTATAGACAGAATTATACAATATGCATTCCTTATGTCTTGCTTCCTTTGCTCAGTATAATTATTTCGAGACTCCCATGTCAGCATGTATCCATAGTTCATCCCTTTTTATTGTTGAGTGGTATTTCTTAACTGTAGGAACCACAATTTGCTTATTCATTCCCCTATAGATGGACATTTGAGAAGTTCCCAATTCTTAGCTATGCCAAACAAGGCTACCAGGAACATTCAAATATAAACCTTTGTGACGATGTTTTCATTTCTCTCAGGTATGTTACTTTTTCAAAATGAGCTTAACTCAGGTACAGTTCAAAATGAGCAGTTCAGGGGCAGCTACTTCCTCCAGGCTCTTTACAGGGAAACCTGACACCTGTGGCTGTTTTCACTTCCCTGCTTTCTCTTGCAAACTTTTGATGTCACCTCATTCTTGTTCTCTTTGATTCAAACAGGGGCCAACTGAGGGGCCTGGTTGACATGTGAGTCTTAGCTGGCCTCAGTTTTGCCCAGCACTATGAGCCCATAGGTGGGAGGCATGATCTCAGGCCAGCCAGGCAATTGCGACCATGGAAGAAATGCTCCTCCTTTTTCCAGAAAAAATTAAATTCCAAAAACATGTAAAAAAGAGAAAAAGATAAACCCAAAATATAAACCACAGAAATGGAGGCCATATCTGTTGTTTTCCGACAATATTATATAGCATTTCTATTATTACCAACAATAACTACACTCCAACCTTTTATTCACTCACCAGATATTTATTGAGCACCAGCTAGGTGCGAGGAGAACTGCTAATGGCCAGTCCCTGGGAATACAAAGGTGGGCAGACAGTCCAGTGGGGGCAAGACACATTAGAAGAAAGGAGCTTGTAATAGGGGACCCTGGTCTGTCTGCAGGGGACACAGGGAGGCCAGTGTGACCAGAGCACACAGAGAAAAGGGTTTTGGCACAGCAGAGGTCAAAGAGGTTAGTGGGAATCAGACTACAGGGGCTTGCAGAGTGCAGAGCAACCTGGACTTCAAAACCCTAAGCCCCCTTCCCACTTGTCTGCATTCCATCCCTCGAGTCCCCTTTTCTGGCTTGATTTCCACCCGCACTCTGGCTCCCAGGGCTGGGGCAGCACACTTGAGAACTAGAGCCTGGAATTTGGTGTCCAAGGCAAAGATCCCACAGGCTCACCCACTAGGGTCACTATTTCCTCCTCCACCCGTGGAAGCAGGTGAAAATCCTACCATTCTGTAGGCATTGGTGGGTTAACTAAACAGTGTGAAGCACTTCATGGCCTGGCATTCAGTAGGTGCTCCACAAGTGTTTAGAGCTGGCACCTGGGTGCTGAACAGCCTCATCAGGGTTTGGGACTCCTGCCTAAGTTCTATGACATCTAGATACCGCCCCCCCCCACCACACACCTGCTTCCAGCTACTCTTTGCCCAGATAATCATACCCCCTCATTCTCCCACACCCTCTGCCCATAATCCTCCCATCACACCTGACCCAACCTAGCCCTTCCCTCCCCTATAAAACACACCTGAGGCCACAGCCTCAGACTTCCTCAGTAGTCCCTGCTTGGCACCCTCTGGTAAGGGTCTATCTTTTCTGGCTGTGGGCAAGGGACAGGAGAGGCTCTCTGGGAGTGTGTTGTGGGTGGGTGTGGTCATGGTCTCCCTGGGTATGTGTCTGTGTACCAAATTGGTATCTGTGCCTCTGTGTCTCTGTGTGTGGGTGGAGTGTGTCTATGTTGGTCTGTCTCTCATGAGCGTGACGTGGGACTGTAAGCACGTGTGTCTGTGTATCTGCATATTGCCTGTCCACCTGCCCTGCCCCCACTCCTGGGCTTCCAGTCTCTACTTGAGTTACTGAATTTATAGCCTCTGCCATACCAGGAAAAGGGGTTTTCCTGAGGGTTAAAGGGACTGTATTAATTCACTTCAGAGCCACCAACTCCTGTCCCTCAAGCACCTTGGCTTGAAGGGGACAGTCCAAGGCTTATTTTTTTTGAGCTTTAATATCATATAACTTTATGTTAATTTCAGGTGTATAACAGTTCGGACCTTCTGACCACCTTCAGCCATTTTGCCTACCCCTCACCCCTCACACCAAATCACCAATATGTTCTCTGTGTCTATAACCTGAGGTGGGGTGGTTAGATTTTGTTTTTAGATTCCACATATATGTGAGATCATATGGTATTAGTCTTTCTCAGATTTATTTTACTTAGCACAATGCCCCTCACTTAGCACAATGCCCTCTAGGTCCATCTGTGTTGTCATGAATGGCAAGATTTCCTTCTTTTTATGGCTGAATAATATTCCATTATATACACACCACATCTTCTTTATCCATACACCCACTGATGGACACTTAGGTTGCTTCCATGCCTTGGCTATTGTAAATAACGCTTCAATGAACACAGGAATGCATACATCTTTCCCAGTTAGTATTTTCACTTTCTTTGGTTATATACGCAGGAGTGGAACTGCTGGATCATATGGTCATTCTATTTTTAATTTTTTGAGGAACCTCCATACTGTTTTCCACTGTGGCTGCAACAATTTGCAATCCCACCAAGAGAGCATGAGGGTTCCCTTTTCTCCACATCCTGGCCAACACTTGTTACTTCTTATCTTTTCGGTACTAGCCATTATGAATGGGGTGAGGTGAAATCTCACTGTGGTTTTGACTTGCATTCCCTGATGATTAGAGATGTTGAGCATCTTTTCATATGCCTGTTGGCCATCTATACGTCTTCTTTGGAGAAATGTCTATTCAGGTCTTCTGCCCATTTTTAAATGAGATCATTTGGTTTTTCTTCCAAGGACTGTCTTCCTTCTTCCAAACCAGATCCTGACTGGCCCTAAGTTTTCTTTACCAGTCCCTCCCCCAAGCCCAGCCCCATGGATCTTTTCCAGGCTGAGACCTCACTAAGGGGAAGGATCAGGGAGCAGGAAAGTCCATGAGCTAGCTCAGAGGCTGATCTCAGCTGAACATTTGTGGTATAAGTAGGTGCCCACAAAAATGGGTGGCTCACCAGGTGCGGGGAGCCTGTCTTGCAGGAGGCTGGGGCTATTGTATTTGGGATGTGTGTGTGTGTGTGTGTGTGCGTGTGTGTGTGTGTGTGTGTGTGTGTGTGAACATTTGTGCTTATATTTCAGCAACCATATGATTACCAGAGAGCCTGGCATCAAGTATTTGGCCCTTTCATATTATATTCTAATTTGTGAGTCACAAAAAATTCATGTCCTATGTCTACACTGGGTCCATTCTGGGGTTGTGAACAATGTGCCACCACCAAGTAAGATGAAGCCAGTCTTGGCACCAGGGCACCTCAGCAATTCCATTGGATGAGAGCACACCTGTTGGATAATGCCCAATTGGCTCAAATCCCAACTTTAGATCCTGGCAGAAAGAGACGGGAACAAGCAGCTAAGAACCCTGGAAGGTTTTCCACTCACTTCTTATAGGGACAAAGGTCTTGGGGCCTTTGACTGTGAATCCGTGGAGTGGTTCTGAGGGCATGAGGGTGTGGGGTTCAGAGCATGATGCCTCCATGTCTCTGTCTACCTACCATGTGTCCACTCAACACCCATTCCTGGCACCTACTCAGTGCCTTGCTCCATACTGGGTACCAAACTAGGCCAGAAGGAGCAGTTTTATCCCTTTTATTCCTTAAAAGGGCTGTGTGTGTATGTCCCTGGGAGGGAAGAAGGAGGGATTAAAATTTAGATTTTAGTAAATTAAACTTTACCTATTGTTCTACAGGTGTTCCTTTTGTCACTCCCTATGCTTGCCCCAAAAAGATGGAGTCAGTTAAGTACTGTGGCTGGGAGGCTGTGGGGTAGAAAAATGAAGAAAGAAGGAAGGACAGTAGTGAAGTAAGGGGCAATCTGTCAGCCGCATCTACTGCAAGCTAAGCCTGTGTTTGTGTGAAGGTGGTGGTAGGGTTCCAAAATGAAAACAATCCCTTGTATTTTGTGGAATACTTATAGATTAAGAAACATGCTTACCCATCATCCATCTCACTAGATCTTCAACCTCAGGAGTAAAACAGGCACACGCTTCTCCCACCCTACACATGAGGCCCAGGGAAATTAGGGGTCATGCTCAGGGTGAGGCCATGGAGGGGTGGCTGGGTCTGGAGCCCAGAACTCAGCTCCTAACAGCTGTACTATTGTCTCCCCTCAAAAGGAACAAAAAAACCATCCTGGCCCTCAACAAACATAAATCATATTGAGTATCTGATTCCCACCAATAGAGCACTTCAGAATGTCCAGGGCCCCTCTGACTGGTCATTGCAGAAAGCCCAGTGGACCCACAGCTGGGCAGGCAAGATGTCCCATCTGAGCAGCTTCCACAGCAAGGCAACAGAGAGTCAAGGAAGACAGATTTCCAAGTGGCAGGAGACATGAGCAAAGGCTAAGATCTGGGACCAGAAGGTCATAAGCAAGAGCCAACAAACAGGAGGACTTAAGCAAAGAAAAAAGGCGGCTTTGGAGGGGAGGGGGTGTACAGGATGGATCTGTCTGGAGGGGAAAGCAGAAGCATCAGGGTTTGCCACTGCAGAGCGCTTCCCTTGGGGTGCTGGAGTTTGGCCAAGGTTGGGAGGGTAGAGAGCTGACAGAGTTGGAACAATAACTCACATTTCCTAACTGGCCCCACCCCACCCAGGAGGACTCAGCCCACTCTTGAACAAACAGGGATGCACAACTGAACTTTGTATTGACTTTCAGTATATTGCCATTGAGTGAATGAATGAGAGAGTAAGAGTCAAGCAAGTGACCAAGTCTGAGTAGCCCTGTGGGGGGCAGGGGGAGGAAGGTGAAATCAGCCCCAGGGTGAGGACAGGTTTCTCACTGCAGAAAAGTGACCAAAGCTCCTTTTCTTACTTCCTCTCCCACAGGTCCAAAGGTACAAAAGTTCCCCAGCCATTTCCCCTTTTCCTTGCCCACTGCCATGTCCACCAGGCCTCCAGCCCCCTTCCTAGACCCTCCAGGAGCAGCCACGACTTCCCCAAGATGAGGAGCAGGGAGCAGGCTCTGGCCCCAGCCCCTGGGGTGGGGGGCACCACAGTGCTCACCCACTCACCCACCGCCTGCCGCCTGCAGCCTTCTCCTCAGCCCCTCTCCTGTTTTCCCATCTGTCTCTCTCCTTTCCTCACGGCCCCTCCCCGCCCCAGCCTCTCTCCTGCTGCTTCCCCACCTGCTCCTTGTTTCTCTGCTTTTCTGACTACCCCCACAGCCTCCCTGGATGGTTGGCTTGCTCCCAGACCCTGCCACACTGCAGGCCTCCAATGACCTGCTGTCTGTTAGAGGAGGGAGGCTGCCTGTCTTCCTCCCTGCCTCCCCCCACACTACATTAGTTGCCACCAGCAGAGCCAGCTCCCAGGCCCGGAACTGGCCCTACACAAAAAGTATCACAGAAGGAGAGCCAGGTAGGGTGGGAAGTGGCTGTTTACAGGCATCACTGAGTCTCTATGGGCCACAGGCTGCTCTAATGTGGCCCCAGGGAAGGCCTAGCCCTTGGAGTCTGCCTCTTCCCAACCCTGGGCCTAGGAGGCAGAAGCAGACTGGGAGTTATCCAGCCCCTGGAGAAGGGGCATAGCACCAGCCCTGCTCCCTCAGAGCCTCAGGGCCCCAGTGCTCTCTCACCAGAAGTGAGGTGGTGACTCTCTCCTCCTCCCCGGGTCTGTGGCAAGAAGCAAGGAATTCCTCTGGCCTTGGGGCCTCAGGAATGGTTCCAGCCAAGACAGAATGTCAAACCACATTCTTTGCAGGCCTCTTGTAGCTGAGATGGTAAAACCTTGACTTTACTTTATATTTTTCCTGGTTTCCTGAGTCTGGTACCTGTTCAGGGACAGCACAGGCTCAAACACACTCCATTGTCATGTACACAAAACCATGCATGTGCATTCATATGCCTGTATTTGTGAGCACAGCAGGCATATTATGTACACATACACGCACATGTTTATGTATGTTAATATAGCACAATACCCCTGTGCCTACACAAACACATACACTACCTATACAGAGAACATGCATGTCCTCACCTTGCCACCTCCTATCTTTGGTCTCCCTCAACCTTCTAGCTGCCCTCCTCCTCCTCTTTCTCCTCCTCTCCCTTGGCTCCTGCATCTCCCCTGACCCTGCCTCTTGTCTCCTCCTTGCCCCTGGCCCTCAGTGAGCTCCTCTGTAGCCTCCCACACTCTCACTTCTAAGTAGACAGCCTGCTGTTCTTAGCATGACAAAATCTTTAATCATTCTGCAAGGATTCCTGTGTAAGGGAAGGGAGATGAGATAATTCTGCTTTTTAGTTGCAGATAAAATAAACAAAGGTCCAGGGAGTGGGACTATATCTCAGCTCAAAGAATGGAAACCAATGAATCTAACTTCTGCCCCTTATGTCTGCTCAGTGCTCTGGCTTCAAGGCAAAAGGTCCAGGGCTAGGAGTAGTCACATGCTGTCCCTGCTTCCCAGCCCTCCACCATGATGCCCTATTCCTACCCAGAAACCCTGAGTCCTCTACAATGAGGGTGGTGGGAAGGGTAGGAATACGGTTGCTGAGCTTGGTTAAGATTGGCCCTGGATCTCTGACTCCATCATTCACTTGGCTTTCTGCAGGGGTACTGACATGGGGGAACACACACCCCTGGCCATGGAGGCCACCCCCCAGGACCCGGTGGGTACCCTCCTGTCCATGGCTCAGGGCTCTGTCCTGGGGGGAGCCACCCCGGGTCCTGTGGGCACCCACCTGTTCCACATCACTGAGGAAGCAGAAGAAACAGAAACCAAGAATGGGGAGCCTGAGTGGGTTGCCCTAAACCAGAATCTTTTCTTCCTAATAAACAACCTCCTGGAGGCCATGTTTTACTTTTAAAAAGAGCCTGTCTTGGCAGAGAAAGACAAATACCAAATGATTTAACTTATTGGTGGGGTTTAAAAACAAAGCAAAACAGAAGGAACAAAATAGCAGTAGGCTCATGAACACTGAGAAGGGACTAGTGGTTACTGAGAGGGAGGGGTTGGGAGGACAGGGGGAAGGGGATAAAGAGGCACAATAATTTGCAATTCCAATACAAGTTGGTCACAGGGACAGTAGTACAGCATGGAAAATCAGTTGATGATTCTGTAACATCTTACTACATTGATAAATAGTGACCGCACTAGAGGGGGTGAGAATTTAATAATATGGGTAACTGTTGAACTACTGTGTTGTATATTTGAAACCAATGTAAGACTGTATATCAATAATACTTTTAAAAAAAAAGAGCCTGTCTTCCTTCATTTCCAACCTGGCGCTCAGGGGCCCAGTAGTCTCTGCGTTCTCTAGTTGTGAAAATGGGGCACCCAGCCAGGCATTCTCAGAAGGTTGGCTCAGTGATATCCACATCATGTGGTTGTATAAGGCTACCCCTCCTCTCCTTTCCACTTCTGCCTCCTCCTGTCAAAGGGCTCCAAGTGCAGCCTCGTCACCTTACCCCATCATATTACACCCAGACCTGGTATACCTTCCAAGGTTCCATCTTGCATGCCTCACTCCAAATCAGGAGAATTCAGAGAATTCCTACTGTCCAGATGTATATTTCACCATTCCCTGAAAAATACATTGAACTTTCTAGCCTCCTTAACTTTGCACAGTTCCCTACCACCACCACCCCATCCCACCCCCCAGGTCAGGAACACCTTCCTTCCAAGCCAGGTGAAGGTCCACCATCAAGATAAAATAAACCTTCCCTAAAGCCCATTAGGAAGAGAGAGATCCTCTCTGCACATTCTCCTATTTCTGCAGCTTATTATCAACCACCACATGCACCTGAACACTACCCAGCACCAACTTACGGGCTCACCTTTTATCTCTCCGACCAAAACTGTAAGCTACTCAGGCAGGCCTGCTGCTTCTACACTCCTAGATTCTCCCACTCCCATCCCCTACTGACACGTGCCTTGTAAGGGATGGCATTTACACACAATTTTAGGGATAGCTATACTCCAAACACTCCTGGATTCTGACTCGCTCTCCCCAGCCTGATTCTTCAGCCAAGGCACCTCCCTGCACATACAGCCAGCCTGCTTTCTGTGAAACCTTTTCTGCCCATTGAAATCCCACATCTGGGTCCCTCTCCACTCCCCAACTCTCAGGCTTCTCACATTGCCCCCATCTATTCCAGAGCTACCACAGCCCTCTAGCCAGGCCTGCCCATAATCCACCACACCTCCCCTCTCTCACAGCCATTCTCTGACAGGTGAGGCAGCAAGTACCCTGGAGTGAGTGGCTTTGGGTACCTCCCAGGCTGAAGTGGGGTGATATAAGAAAAGGGGATTCTCTGAGCATCTGTCTTCCCCCTCTCTCCACCCATTCCCCACCCCCACGTCACTTCCACCCCCGCTGCCCCCAACGCACTTGAGTAACAGAATCAGGACTCCACGTCTAAGAGGCGCAGACCCAAGTCTAGACACGAGAAGAAAGACCCAACTTGAAAAGGTGCTTAGCCCCACTGTGTGCGGTGGAAGGTAGGAGTGAGCAGAGCTTAAATGTGAAACTAAAGTTGCCAGCCCTCTCGACCCCTTGGCGTCCTACGCAGTGAAGTGTGGGCGTGGAGTTCTTCCGCCTTTCAGGCTGGCAGAGTCTGAGTATCAAGTTTGAGACTCTGCATGGTGCCTCGGGTCGAGCTTCCTGGTCCCTTACGGGAAGACCGTTGCCCCCAGGACTACAGGGTATGCGGACTACAGCCAAATGTCTGAACTCCCTAACAGCTATGGCCTGGGCAGACTCGCCCACAACCCCAGCCCACGGGTCTCAAGACAGCGGGCCTCCAGCGCAGGGCAGCGGCGCCGCGGGAAGCCTCTGTCCCCGCCCCGCCGTGCCACACCCATTGGCTGGGCTCCGGTAGGCCCGCCCAGCGATCGGTCCTTCCAGCACTGACGCATGCGCAGGAACCCAACCACCGCCTCCACCGCTTCAGCACCAGCGCCCGGACAGCGGCGCCGCCCACGGGCATGGACGGTGGTAGCGGCAGCCGCAGAGGCGACCCGGCTCCCGGCCAGGAGCCGGAGGAGGGGAGGCAGCGGCCCGAGGGAGAGCCTTTGGCCCCAGACGGCAGCTCCCCGGACAGGTAGGGCGGACCTCTCCGCAGACCCCCGTCGCAGACCTTCCCAGCATCCGCCCCGGGTATCCCCAGTAGCCGCCATGTCTCCCCTCACTGGCCAGCCCCTCCCAGAACCCCTTCCATCGCTCCTCGCTCACAGCCCCCTGGCCGCACCCTCACTCTGCCAGGTCGGTTTCCTTCTCACTGATACCCCCTCCTGTCAACCCCATCGCCCCCACAGCTGGGGCCCGGCCCCACCCACTCTTCTTGCCCAACTCTAAGGTGCGGGTTCCCCCGTTACTCTGGGCTCCCAAGCTCCTTTCTCTAGGCCCTACCCCTACTTCTTCTCAATAAGCCCCAAGCCCACAGCGACCTCAGTCCCGGTTCCAGCGTGTCAGTGTGTTCGAGGGTGTGTGTTGTAGACGGGGAGCTCGCCAAGGTGTGTCCTGGGGAGGGCAGATACTCGGTTGCCAAACCAGGGACTGTCTTTGTCCATCACCATCAGTCTCCAGTCTGCCCCGCATGGCCTGCTGCTCACGTGTGGGCTGGAGTCCCAGCCTGTGGCAGCAGCCAGCACTTGCCAGAGACAAGGGCAAGCAGGCTTTGAGACAGGCCACAGTCAGTACTGTCCGTGAAGGAGCCCCAGGCTGATGTGACAGAAGCAGCACCTTCCCGCTTAGCACCCGGATTTGATGCCTCTCCTCTCCTTTCTCCACCATATGTGCAAGGGATGAACCCAACCAGGTAGCAATATGGCGCAATTTCTCTACCGGCCTCATGTGCTGCCCTCTGAGTCCCTCCCCTAACACGACACTCCCTCTCTCTCCTGCCTGGACTGAAATAAGAGGCATTCTTTGGGGGCAGAAAGCAGAGATCTACACATTGTTTCCAGACTGCCCCAGTTAAAATGTACATTCTGTACTCAGAGCAAAGAGGAGACCCCACAAGTGAAGAAAAATGTTTTTTTTCCCTCTACTGTTAATACATCAGCCTGGGTAGATTTAGCCACCTTTCAGTCTGAAAGGCACAGAGCTTTCTTTAAGGGGGTGAGATCCAGGATGGATGTGTTACCTGCACCAGAGGGCTGCCTAGGGCTATGGTCTCACCAAAGAGCCAGAGATAGACAGGGCAGGGGCAGTGACAGGGGAAAGCAGGTGTCTGGGGCCAGAAGCATCCCTAGAAGTGACTGAAAAGTTCTTTCTGTCTTGGATATTTTGTCAAGACTCAGCCCTATCTTCCCCTTTTTTTTGCTCACTTCCTCTGTACATGGGGGTCATTCTTGGGCACAGGAACCACTTGCTCTCTTCCAGCAACTCCCTGAGACTCTGGCCCGGATTTGCACTTTCCCAGAAACCCTGAACACTAATCAGGCAAAGGGACTCAGTTCAGTTCAAGAAGCACAAATATGCTCCTAGCACTCTGAAGATAGACATACAGTGAATAAAGATGGTGCTCACACATGCACATGCACACATATATACATATACACACACATGCGCACACATATGTACAGAGTCCTTTACTAATGCATTGACTACAGAAAGATTTGAAATAGTTCATCTTTGTGTTTTTAAAATCACTTTTTTATTTTCCTATTGGCATAAGCTGCTCCCCCATCTGCCCTGGACACCCTGTGGGATCACAAGGATGTCCATATGGCTGTGTCTGTAGGCCTGAGGGCATGGTTCATGCACATGCACATTTGCCAAGTGGGAGCTCTGTGTCTGGGGCCCTGTCAGCCAGGCTCTGGCTGCTGTGGCTGTGGCCCCTTGAGGAGGCTTGCGTCACCACTTTCCACCCCTGTGCCTGCCCACTCCTATCACTTGGCTCACAGGCTAGTGAACCCAGACAGACAGCCCAGGAAGTTGTTCATCCCAGTCAGAGCCATAGAACTGAGAGGAGGAGAATGAAAGTGCTCCCCCAAGGGAAGCAAGGTCTGGGGTGCTTAACTAATATTATTACTAGGTCTCCTGAAAACAGGACAGCTGTGCTGGCAGGAGAAAGCTTTTATTCTGAGAAGAGTTAGGCTCTTGTCCTTGGAAGGGTTGAGGCAAGGCTGGGTTCTACAGCAGTCAGAATGTGGAGGGTTTCAAATTCTGCCACACTGATAATCATGGACACAATCAATAGGGCTGAGATTTGGGAGATGATCCTAGGTCCCTGGAGAGGAACAGAAGGGGCTGAAAGGGTCTGGGACGAGGGAGACCACAGTAGAAGCAAACCAATCGTAGAGGATAGAATCCCCCTTGAACAGGAGCCAGCTAAGGAAGGGGGTAGGCTTATGAGGTTTGGCAAACTGGTTAAAGGAGAGTGCTCCCATTCTCCAGCACCCTCTCTAGAGTGCTGGCTTCCTTTAATGAAAAAGAAATGGATACTCCAAGTGGGGGCCTGGCTCCTAGGATAAGCCCTGTGCTCAGTGAGTGCTGTAAGGCCATGGGCAGCTGGAATAGGCAGCCTAGCTACCCTCCCCTCCTGACCCCTGGTGGGCAGGCTCTTCTATCAAGAGGAAGACCAAGACTAATGGGTCATCCTCATGTCTTCAGGATCCAACCCAGACAAGCACAATGCCCAAGATGTAGCAGTAGCTCAAAAAAAATGTAGATGTCCACACTTACACACATGTTTAAACCCAGGCCATTTAGCCATCTCCCTTTGGCCCATGGGTATGTTCCCATAAGGTGTTTTATCTGCCAGGACACTGGTTGCTCTGTCATTAACTTTATGGGGTCATCTGAGGTTTTGCTTTAGAACAGCTTTGGTCAAATTCCTATTTTTCTGAACTTTGAGTTAGTAAGAAAAAAAGTATCAATGATTTAAATCAGGAGATCAAATTCTGATGTAGCTTTTGGATTACAAAAATGAAAGTATTTATAATTATATATGTAGTAAGATTCTCAAGGTGTGAGAAATTCTGAAAGGTGTTATATTATCTGAGGTGTCTAAAGAGGTCAAATGTAAACATAAGTATATTTCTTAAATCCCATGCTCCCTGCAGCACTGAGTATGGGGAGGGACAGGGAAAGCAAATGTGTTTTCCATATGCCAGGCACCTTACATACGTTATATCAGTTAATTCCCATACCAAAGCCTACAGGGGGCATTGTCATCATAACCTCATTCAGCAGACAAGGATGTCAATGCTCCAAGAACTGTGTGTCTTTCTCAAGGCCCAGAGCTAAAGGATGATAAAGCCAGGAGCCTACCTCCACTCCTCCCCGATTTTACTCTCAACATGAGCATCATTCCGTCCCAGACTGCTATGCCTGCCAGGCATCCTTCTGGAAGGAAAAGGAAGAGCTTGCTTATTCTTTCCAGTCCTCTACTTGATCTCTGGGTGAACCCAGCCTTCGTGGGCAATGTCCACTTGCCACCACGGCTGGAACTCTGACCCACAGCCCCCTCAGCAATGCAGCAGGCAGGACTGGAATGGGACTTATGCAAGCTCTGGCAATCCAGGTAAGCCAAGAAGATAGGGAGAAGGAGATAGGGCTCTGCTAAGGCTTCACAACCCAGAACCCCTCTGGGAACTCCCACATGGCCCTTAGGCACTCTGTTCTGTGGCCATCTTCTGTCCTAGGTCTGGCAATCCACGGGGGTGGGACACCACCTCCCTGTGCACCCAAGGAGTGGGGCTGGGTCCATGCACAGAGTGCAGCCCTCATGAGTAACTTTAAAAGAGGAATCTATTGCTGACTCTTCCTTGGCGGTCCAAACTCCCTCTCCCAATTGTGCACTCCCCTGCAAAGCAAACCTTCTGCCCCATGGCCCAAGGATGGTGGAAGGGCAGAGGTTGCCTCTGCCAAACTCTACTGAACCCCCATCACTGTCAAAGTTGGGCCTTCCTCTAGGTTTCTGCAGCCCTCGGTGACTTCCTCTCTCACAGCACTCAACATGTGGGACTGTTGGCAACATCTCCCACCTCTATAAGTGCCTAGACAACAAGAACTGGGCCTTATTCAACCTAGCACCACTGTTAGTAGCCTGTTTAGCATTCCATATTCATTCAGCAAACATTCCCTGTACATCTACTGAGTACAAGGCACTTTTCAAGGCACTAGGATATAGAGATGAACAAATAAATGCCTCAGGCCCTATTTTCCCAGAGCACACATTCCATATGAGTCAGGCAATAAGCATGACAACTACCTAATGCCCAGGATGGCAAATACTTTGAAGCAATATAAAGCAGGTTAGGGGGCTAGAAAGCAGATAGGAGTTTCTTTAGAAAGGGTAGTCAGGGAAGGCTTCTCTGAGGAGGTAACAGACTGAGACTAGACTACAAGAAGGGTGAGTGCCATGCAACTATCTGGAGGAAGAGCATCCCAAGCAGAAAGAGAAGACAGTTCAAAGACTCTCAGGTAAGTACAAAGCCGATTGCTCAGATGCTCAGGAAATGTCTGACAGGAGAATGAACAGGCAACTAAAGCAGAAAGAGTACAGGACTGCAAATCAGAACTAGGCTTAAGGCCCATTCTTCATGTCTCACTGAACCTCAGTTTTCAAATCTATGAAAAAGAAAGTATTGCTCCGGTAGGGTTTTTGTAAGGAATATATAAGATCATATATGTAAAAGCATGTTCAATGCCTAGCATAGTGTCCAGCATGCAGCAGACTGCAAATAATGTTTTCTGAGTGCATGGCAAGATGAGTGAATGAGACAATGGACCCCAAAAGATAGATTGGGATATAGAGCTAGAGCCCCAACTCTCCTCATCTCTCCCCCCAGGACTAGTAACAGAGCCCCCACCTCCCTCTCTCAGCTTACTGACCAATGCTGAACATGGGGTGGCCCAACCACATCCCTCAGCACAATCACCTCTGCCTCCTCTCTCCTCTCTCCCTAGGTCCCAGAGGAAGGCTGTGGCCCCTGCAGCAAGCCCAGAGAGAAGCTGTTCCTTCCACAGCTGCCCCCTTGAAGACCCTTACAGTTCTTCAGGTCCCCCAGCAACAACTTCCACCCTCCAGCCTGTGGGCACATCCAGCCCCTTGGCCCCTGCCCACTTCACCTATCCCCGGGCGCCACAGGAATACAGGGGGGACAGTTCCCTGCCAGGACTTGGGGACCGGGCAGCTCTGTGCTCCCATGGCTCCAGCCTCAGCCCTTCCCCAGCCCCCTCACAGCGTGATGGGGCCTGGAAGCCGCTGTCTGTGCAGCACCATGTGGTCAGCGTCAGGTAAGGAAGGTTCCGGCAGCCTGCCAGCTGCCATTGGAAGGTGGGACAGGGTTTAAAGTGGGGCTGATAGCCTCCCCCATCCCTCTGGACTCCCTCATTAGGAAGCAGCTTGGGATGTCCCCTGTCTCTGATGGAGAAGGCACCCTGGATGAAGGAAGAAGGGTTGGAGCTTGGGAACGGGAAAGCCTGAAGGATTGTTAATACCCCTGTCCTCTTTCCCACACCACTACCTCCCACCCTAGAAGAGGTCACTGACAAACCCTTTTCTTCTCCTCCATAGGCAGGAACAGACCTTCCAGATGCCAAAGAGGTAGGTGTAGACCTTTTCTGGACCCCTAGGAGTGACCAGGCTAGTGCCCAGTTTAGCCCCACTACCCTTTCTTGTTAACTCCTGAGCTCACCCACCCCCTGCTACCACACCCAACACCATTCACGTGGGTTCACTTCTACTTTCCCAGCTATTCCCAGCTGATTGCTGAGTGGCCGGTGGCTGTGCTGCTGCTGTGTCTGGCTGTCATCCTCCTCTGCACTCTGGCTGGACTGTTGGGAACCCAGCTGCCTGACTTCTCCAAGCCCTTGCTGGTAAGGGCCCAAGTGGAAGTAGGGCCCCCCCACCTGGCCACCTCAGCTCAGTCTAGGGCAGAAAGCTGGAGAGGCCCAGCTGGGGGTGGGGATGGCAGTGGTAGGTTCTCTACCCCCAGAGAGAGCTGGAGAGATGTGTAGAGGGGATATTCTCATCCAACAATCCAGGCAGGTGGGCTGGACTTCCCTGCTTCAGGGACCCAAAGGGGAGAGTCAGAACAGGGTGATGGAGAACTAATTCCTCCTCTCCTGCCTACATAATCTTCTCTGCCTTGTCCTGCAGGGCTTTGAGCCTCGGGATACAGACATTGGGCGTAAGCTAGTGGTCTGGAGAGCACTGCAAGCCCTCACGGGCCCCAGGAAGCTGCTTTCTCTTTTCCCAGACCTTGAGCCAAACAGGTAATGGATTCCCATCTTTCCACGTTTTGGGGAGTAAAGGAAAGGGCAAGGTCTCCAGAGAGGGGCCACTGGGTGACCTCCCCAAAGGCAGGTCGGAGGAGCTTGCTGGGCCCGCTGGGGAGTGATATCTGGTCTCCTGTGAACTCCCACCCCTTGATGGTGCCTGGCACAGATTTTCTCTCTACCTCAGCTCAAACCCTCACACCACTCTGAGCCCCACACCCTGGAGCAGAGCCCAGGAGAGCATGGTCCGGCCTCGGAGGATGGTGGAGTCTCTGGAAGATGGAGGAAAGGAGAGCTTCTTCTGTGGCCCCCCCGGTAAGCTGTACCTTGACCCATTCCTGTCTTTAATGGTGGTCCCCACCCCATCTACTAAAATAGGAGGGCCCAGGAGAACAAATTTAGGCAGACAAAAAGGGAAGGAGGCCAGCTGGTCACAGTCAAACCAAAGGAAGTTACAGATAGGAGAATGAGGCAGGTCTCAGGTGCTCCAGCCAGGTAGGGCCATGCTGGGTGAGGATGGGGCACAAGAGCAGGGATGCAGGCCCAGGGTCAGGCATTCAGGTACAAGTTTCAAGCTCCTGAGAATCTGTATCTCATATGGCCCTGGGTAAGCATCTTCCCTTTGGTGGGCCCAGGGTCTGGGGCCAAAGGCTGACCTCTGGGGGCTGTATTGCAGAGAAGAGTTATGCACAGCTGGTGTTCATGTCCACCTCAGCGGGCAGCCTGTGGAACCTGCATGCCATCCATTCCATGTGTCGCATGGAACAGGACCAGGTGAGCTGACTGCGGAGGTGCCAGGGGCTGGGGGGGATGGAACCAGGGACATCAGGGACCTGATCCCATGGAAGTACAGCTGAGCTAGGATGGTTGGGGTGGACTGGGGCAGAGCATTCCCTCCTTACACAATTATTCCAACCCTGCTGAGAGGCTCCAGGTTGGGGTGGGGAAAGAAGAGTCAGCTGTTCACAAAAGAGCCAAGACAAATTCTGGAAGTAAGACCATGCAGAGCCTGGGGATTTTTAAAAGGTCCTGAAAAGGAGCCTCAAGAGCTCTTGAGGAGACCCCAGCCCAAAGCTCCCAACCCCATGAACCCAAGCAGTGCTAAATGGACAACCCTACACCATAACATCTACAGAAAGGTTTGCTGCTAAAAACGGTGTAAACACCACTAAGTGGCCCAACCCACTCACTTCACACAGGGGTGTCCAAAGGACCAGAAGACACTGGTGGCAAACGTGTTCTGGAGTCGGATGCCTGAATTTAAGGCCAGCTCAAATCCCTCCCTAGCTTCAGACACATTTCTTAACCCCTCAGTTATATATATGTCTTTGCACATATAAAATGGAGATGATAATAGTACATTCCTCATAGGGGTGTTGTGACAATTCAACAGGACCGAATCTGTAAAAATATAGCATAATGACTGGCAATAGTAATCTCTTATGTTACTATTATCACCATGACCTCAGGTCCAAGGCCATACAGCCAGTTGGTAGCAGAACAGCAGAACAGGGCAGGGCCTCTGATTCCCAGGCCAGGGCTCTCTTAAACTACACCAGCTGTTGTGATGTCAGCAGCAGGTGGGAGAGAAAAGGAGCCATGAGAACTGAAAAAGAAAACACCCTGTCCCTAAGAGGGTTTCAGCAGACCAGTGGACAGAGGTAGGAAGTTAAGGTTTGGCAGTGCCTCTGATTCAAGAACATTTTAGCCCCCCCTTTTCCACCATTTGCTTCCAGGTCAGTTCCCTGGGCCCTTGGCCTGTTGCAACTGTGGCCACCACTTCCACTCCTATGCCTGGCTCAGGCAGTGCAGTTGGAGTATGTGACCTGCAGGGACCCTTAGGGCAGGACCTCTCAGGCTGAGGTCTTGGGTAGCATCCCTGAGGCTCCTCTTTGATGGAGTCAGGACATAGCTGCTGGCACCTGGTCCAGGAACCAAAGACAGCTCTGAGGCCAGCCAGTTCTGCTGGGCTGTCAAGAAATCTCTTCCTATAGCTTTGCACAGTGGCAGTATTGTAGCCAATGAGGTTTATCCGAGGCGTGATTATTGCTAATTGAAAACTTTTCCCAATACCCCACCATGACAACTTGAAATATAGTCGACATTGGCAATTTTTTGCAAAAAAAAAAAAAAAAGATACCTCCCACCATTGCCCTACAGCCTGAAAGGGGGTGAGAAGGCCTTGGATAGGACCAGGGAAACCAGAGCCCCTGCACTGCCCCTGAGTTCTCTCCTGCTGTGTGTGCTATACAGATCCGCTCCCACACCCGCTTTGGGGCTCTGTGCCAGCGTACAGCTGCCAACGAGTGTTGCCCTAGCTGGTCCCTGGGCAACTATGTGGCCGTGCTCTCCAACCGCTCCTCTTGCCTGGACACTACTCAAGCAGATGCAGCCCACATCCTGGCCCTGCTGCGAGTCTGTGCCCTCTACTACCACCGTGGTGCCCTGGTGCCCTCTTGTCTGGGACCCGGGAAGAACAAGGCCCCAAACTGTGCCCAGGTCCCCACCAAGTGCTCCCAAAACAGTGCAGTCTACCAACTCCTGCACTTTCTGCTGGACAGAGACTTTCTGAGTCCCCAGACTGCTGACTACCAGGTACCCTCCCTCAAGTACAGCCTGCTCTTTCTGCCCACCCCAAAGAGTGCCTCCTTAATGGGCATCTACCTGGACCGCCTAGCCACCCCCTGGGAGCTCTCTGACAACTACACATCCATCACTGGCATGGACCTGGGCCTCAAGCAAGAATTGCTGAGGCACTACCTGGCCCAGGATACGGTATACCCCTTGTTGGCCCTGGCTGCCATCTTCCTCAGCATTGCCCTCTATCTGCGCTCCCTCTTCCTGACGTTCATGGTGCTGCTCGGGGTGCTAGGCTCCCTGCTGGTTGCCTTCTTTCTTTACCGAGTGGCCTTCCGCATGGCCTACTTCCCTTTCATCAATCTGGCGGCCCTCGTCCTGCTCAGCAGCGTCTGTGTCAACCATACCCTCATCTTCTTCGACCTATGGCGCCTCAGCAAGAGCCAGCTGCCCTCTGGGGGGCTGGCACAGCGTGTGGGCCGCACCATGCACCACTTTGGCTACCTGCTGCTGGTCTCAGGCCTCACTACGGGCGTGGCCTTCTATGCCAGCTACCTGAGCCGCCTCCCGGCTGTGCGCTGCTTCGCCCTCTACATGGGCACTGCTGTGCTGACGCACCTGGCGCTCACGCTGGCCTGGCTGCCCTCCTCTGCTGTGCTCCACGAGCGCTACCTGGCGCGCGTCTGTGCGTCCCGGGCGCAGGGCCCGTGGGACGGCAGCGCCCCCCGGCGGCTAGCGCTGGCGCTGCACCGGCGGCTCCGCGGTCTTCGGAGGGCTGTGGCCAGTACCTCGCGTCTGCTCTTCCAGCGCCTACTGCCCTGTGGCGTCATCAAGTTCCGCTACATATGGATCTGCTGGTTCGCTGCGCTGGCGGCAGGGGGCGCCTACATCGCCGGCGTCAGCCCGCGCCTGCGGCTGCCCACTCTGTCCCCACCCCGCGGCCAGGTCTTCCGGCCTAGCCACCCCTTCGAGCGCTTCGACGCAGAGTACCGGCAGCAGTTCCTGTTTGAGTGGCTGCCTGAGGGTGAGGGCGGTCACATGCCTGTGGTTTTGGTGTGGGGCATCCTGCCTGTAGACACTGGCGACCCCCTGGACCCCCGCAGCAACAGCTCACTGGTGAGAGATCCTGCCTTCTCGGCCAGCGGTCCTGATGCCCAGCGCTGGCTCTTGGCACTCTGCCATGGAGCTCGGAATCAGAGCTTCTTTGGAACCCAGCCAGAGGGCTGGCCCACTCTATGCTTCATGGAGGCCCTCCAGCGCTGGATGCAGAGCCCCAGTTGCGCCCGCCTGGGGCCTGGCCTCTGCTGTGGTCATTCTGACTTCCCCTGGGCACCCCAGCTTTTCCTGCACTGCCTCAAGATGATGGCTGTAGAGCAAGGCCCCCATAGCACCAGTGACCTGGGACCCCGGTTCAATACCCAGGGCAGCCTGGTGGCACTGGTCCTGCAGTTCCAGACCAACTTCCAGTACAGTTCAGACTACAGCCAGGCCCACCACTTCTACACTGAGGTCAGCCACTGGCTGGCAGCAGAACTGGGAAGAGCACCTTCTGGCCTCCGCCACGGTTGGTTCACTAGCCGCCTGGAGCTGTACAGCCTGCAGTGCAGCCTGAGCACTGAGCCTGCTGTGGTGTTGGCGCTGGCTCTGGCACTGGCCTTTGCCACACTGCTGCTAGGAACCTGGAATGTTCCACTTAGCCTGTTCTCTGTGGCAGCTGTGGCAGGCACCGTACTGCTCACTGTGGGGCTCCTGGTTCTGCTCGAGTGGCAGCTCAACACTGCCGAGGTCCTCTTTCTCTCTGCCTCTGTGGGCCTCTCTGTAGACTTCACTGTCAACTACTGCATCTCCTATCACCTGTGCCCACACCCTGACCGCCTGAGCCGCGTGGCCTTCTCGCTTCGCCAGACCAGCTGCGCCACCGCAGTGGGGGCTGCTGCCCTGTTTGCAGCCGGTGTACTCATGCTGCCTGCCACAGTGCTGCTCTATCGCAAGCTAGGCATCGTCCTCATGATGGTCAAGTGTGTCAGCTGTGGCTTTGCAAGCTTCTTCTTCCAATCTCTGTGCTGTTTCTTTGGACCAGAGAAGAACTGTGGACAGATCCTCTGGCCTTGTGCCCACCTGCCATGGGACACTGGAACTGGAGGGCCTGGTGAGGAGAAGGCAGGCTGCCCACGACCGGGGCCAGTGGGAGGAGCTCTTGTGTCCTGCTCAGAACAATACGAGCTACAGCCCCTGGCCCGGCGCCGGAGCCCCAGCTTTGATACCAGCACTGCCACCAGCAAGCTGTCCCACCGGCCTTCTGTGCTCTCTGAAGACCTACAGCTGCACGATGGCCCCTGCTACCCCCGGCCCCCATTGGCCCCTGCCTCCCCAAGAGAGCTGTTTCTGGACCACCAGACAGTCTTCAGCCAGTGCCCAGCCCTGCAGACCTCCTCCCCCTATAAGCACACCGGCCCCAGCCCCAACACCAGAGCTAGGCAGGACTCTCAAGGGCAGAAGGCCAAGCCCGGGCAGGCCTCACCCAAAGCCACAGACCACTCCCCCAAGCCCGAGGCTGTGGAGCCTCCTGATTGCCTCTGCTCCTCAGCCAGTACCCTGGAGGGGCTCAGTGTCTCTGATGAGACCTGCCTAAGTACCTCTGAACCCAGTGCCCGTGTACCAGATTCCATGGGTGCCTCCCCAGAGGACCTGGACAAAACTGAGCAAACAATACCTGAGCGTGGCCAGCTGAACAGGAAGCGGGACACCCTGTGGCTGGCACTGAGGGAGACCGTGTATGATCCATCACTGCCCGCCTCCCACCAGAGCAGCTTGTCCTGGAAGGGCCGTGGGGGACCAGGGGATGGCAGCCCTGTGGTGCTGCCCAACAGCCAGCCAGATCTGCCAGACGTTTGGCTGCGCAGGCCCAGCACCCACACTTCAGGCTACAGTAGCTGAGGGAGGCCCCGGGAAGACAGACCAGGCACAGAGTCCGTCAGGGATGACAAGGCAGGGGCAGCACCAGGCTGGAGCCTGATGGTGCTTCCCCACATCAGCACGGAGCAGTCTCACCCTCCAGTTGTGGATTTGAAATGCTGCCAGATGTTCCCATCCTGGTCTGAACTGCTGCTTACTCCCCTTATCTGGAGGATCCAGTGGGGAGGATCTTTGGCAGGAAACACCAAGCCCTCCTTGTGACCTGCTGAGGGCTCATTTGCCCCCACAGCTCCAACCAGGACCCACCCTCTGGAAGGGGGAAGGCCAGATATATAGCTCCAGGTATGAGGGGCCAAATGGCAAGAATTTCAGTGGGACTAAGGGACATGTGTCTTGAGACCCTGTCAGGATACCTCACAACTGAAAGAGCCCTGGGGAACCTCGGTAGCCTCCTGGTCCTCATACCTTTCAGGGACTCTTTCATCAAGACACTTCTTTTACTTTGGGGAGCATCTCTAGGCCAGGATTGGGCTGGGGCCTCTGTCCTGAATGCCCAAACCCCTCATGCTTCCAAGGCAGATGAGAAATTCATCAATGCCAGGCTTGGGGGTGAAGCAAGAGAAGAAGGGATGGTCAGCTTCAGAGCATCTCCAAATTGCAGGATGGCCCCTCATAGGAAGCAACTCTGGCATTGGGAGATGCCGCCCCTGTTAACAAACAATAAGAATCCTCTACATCCCTGCATTTTTTAGGTTACAGAACACTTGGGCAACCATGGTGTCCCTTGGGTCTCACCACTTTGCTCTGGGGCAGCCTGCAGTTGGCCATGTCCTTTATCTCCAGTTTACAGGTAAAGATGTTGAGACTACATAAGGTCAAGTGATTTATCCGAAGGCACATACATAGCTAGTAAATGGCAGAACAGGGTTCCTGACTCACTTCTTGACACATGTTCCTCCTGGCTTCCTGCCCCAAGGCCACTGGCCTCTGACTGTCTTGATCTTTTCACCCCTGTCTCCTTGCTGTTGCCACCTGCCTTGGCAGGTGTCTCTGAGTAAATGCCCCTCTCCTCTTTAGGTTGCCATCTCCAGAGAGAGCTACCCTGTGAGCAAACCAGAGCTCCTCCCCATTAAGCCTGGGCTTCCCCCGGACCCAACTGAGGCCCCTACCAGCAGCCATGGGGCATCCTGGCTGCTCTGATTCCCAGGGTTAGGTGTAGGGGCATGCATCTGCCAGGCCACAGTGTAGGGAGAGCCCCTACCAGGAGAGGCACCAAGGGCAGTAAAAGTTAAGCAGAATTCAGTTAAGGCAGGAGCTCAGGCCTGCCCTTTTTAGGAGTGTGTGTTCCCTAGGCAGGGGTCCCCATCTTTATAAGGACAGGTCTCTTGGGGGCCACTCAGCAGACCAAGGGCTGACTCCTCCTCCCCAAAGCAAAGAGTCTTTCTGGAAGGGTTTATCCCATGTGAGCTCATGACTCTGGAAGCATCAAGTTTACTCAACACCTACTCTGCATAAGGACTACAAGGGGACAGAGTCATTGAAGGAAAATGGAACATCTGCCTCAAGAAGCTCACCATCCAGCTAGGGATACAGTTCACACATACCTGCAGGCATCAGTGGCTCACGGATGGTACTGCACAGTGCACGCTGAGGGCCCTATGCCTGTCACCATTTGTATTGCTGGAACTCAAATACTCAGGACTGGGTAACCAGGAAGACTTCCTAGAGGAAGAACAGCTTGAGCTGGGTTTCTGAAGTCCCAAGTATCTCAGACTAGAAGGGACTTTAACTATCCCTTAACCATTCCAGTGGTTTTCAAACTTTGTTGCCTCAGGACCCTTTCTTCAAAGAATCTTTGTGTGGAAACACAGTATACAAAACAGATAAAAAGCAGCTATTCTAGTAATGCCAGGGTGGGGGGAGTACAGAGCCAACTCAGCCTCCCTTTCTACACCTCTTAGGGGGCCCAGGGAGCCCCTCAAACTCCTGGCACCTGTACAGAATGTGGTGTGAAAACCGCTGATCCAGGCTGTTTTATAGATGAGTATCCCAGAGGGGAAAGGATTTTTCTAGAGCCAGTGTGTGGCAGAGCTGGAGGCAAATCAGGGGGTGCTTTTTTCCCGCTATATTGTCAAGGTGTCCTATCACCCACCTCAAGTAGCCCTTGAGAAGTGGGGCAGAAACACAAATGAGACGCAAGACTTGTTGAAGAGACAGAAGACAATGGGCAGGAATGACAGGACACAGTGGCTCTTTTGCAAGGTAAAAGTAAATCAAACCCATTTGACTCCTGACACCAGGAATGGGAAGCAGTGACTAGGACCTAACTTGGACCTGTCCCCCTGCAGTCTGCTGGGACCTCTCTCTCTTCATGTCCAAGTGGAACTCAGCCTCTCTGGCCTAGGGCTGGTCATCAGGGTCCTGGCCTCTCTGCACCATGACCATGTCCTCTTGTTATTACACAGCAAGGGCCAGAGAGCCTTGGTCTCATCTGGGACAATCAAAGACAATGTGACCCCTTCTTCCTGAGCATGATCAGAAGTCTGGCCTCAAAAAGAGAGGCCAGCATCTTCGTTGCTTGTCGGTAACTCATCGAGGCTCCTCTGCCCCAGGTTGTAGGAGGGCAACAGGGACCTGGACCAAAAGGACCTACTCCTCCACACCCTCTTTTGTGTCTTGCAAATGGAGACATTGGTGTCTGGAGACAGAGCTTCAAAACCTTTGCCTGAACACAATTGAAATGTTACATTATTTGAAGGGTGGGTGGGGTGGGCATCAGAGATTTAGGCACAACTGAGGGAATTTCTGGGTCCCATTCTGGCAGGCCATGGCCACATAGCCCTGCAGGAAGGCAGATGAGCCAGAGAAGCTGAGGAACCGACTGGATTTGTTCTTTATACCTGCAGGCCCCAAGAGCTAGGAGAACCCAGTGGTGATCTAAAACATCATGTCACACCTACAGTGGCCCAAACCAACAGCAGACAGTCCAAATCAGAGGGTAATCCAGCCTGCCTCTCTAGTCCCAACTTCGGAAAGTAGGATTCAAAGCATGTTCTATTTCCTTTGGGTATTAGCAGATCTGTTCACTTTATTATTATCATAGGTGGTTACAGTAACTGTATGGTTCTGAACACTCGTGGAAAGAGGCTCAGAAGCATATTGTGAGACAGGGAAAACCAGTCAGAGCCTCACATTTGCTCTGGAAAATTCAAGCAATGGTTTCTTAACACTGAGACACTTTAAAATAGAACTGTATCAATGTTCATTTGGGAACTGAGGTCATTGCTCTAATTTGTGCCACAGATCCTTGAACTTATAAGTACATGTGGTGTATCTTTTTAAAATGTAACTTGGTACAGTTTGTTCCTATAGGAAAATCCATTCTCCCATGGCTGTGGTGTTTGGTGACAATGTTAGACAGAAATTGATTTGACTGGCAGAATCAGATCTTACTGGCACGTGGCATATCCCATACCATGATATTTAGGCAATATCCCAGCTTGAGCCTGATTCTGAAAGACATCTCACAAGAGATCTATAAGCTAAACTTCCCAGCCCCCTCCAACTCATTCTATTCCTCTCCCAGTGTGTTACAGGATAGGGAGGCAGGTGAGGGGTATCAGGAAAGAGGATATGTTGGTTTACAACCACCCGTTAGCTGGAGAGTTTCTGATCTTCCATGGTGGCCCTACCTCAGCCTTTGATAATACATGTGGGCAATGAAAAATTCTCTAGTACCCCAAGCCATACGTCAAGATCCCATTTTCTTGGAGACAGGAAAAACAGACATTCCTTTCCCTTGTTCACAAGGAGGACTGTAACTCAAGGTTTGGAGCTGTTTATGTTTTTAGGTCCAAAAAATGTAACTCAATTCACTGGGAAGATAAGCAAAAGAAAGTCACTATGTGCTATGTAAATGGTTGGCTATCCAAAGCCACCCTGTACTGAAGAGCCCTAGAAGGACCTTGATAAACTTTTAATTATTATCAGGCCTCTGTGTGATTATTCATGTTATACCTCAACAGAGAGNTTGGGGCTCTGTGCCAGCGTACAGCTGCCAACGAGTGTTGCCCTAGCTGGTCCCTGGGCAACTATGTGGCCGTGCTCTCCAACCGCTCCTCTTGCCTGGACACTACTCAAGCAGATGCAGCCCACATCCTGGCCCTGCTGCGAGTCTGTGCCCTCTACTACCACCGTGGTGCCCTGGTGCCCTCTTGTCTGGGACCCGGGAAGAACAAGGCCCCAAACTGTGCCCAGGTCCCCACCAAGTGCTCCCAAAACAGTGCAGTCTACCAACTCCTGCACTTTCTGCTGGACAGAGACTTTCTGAGTCCCCAGACTGCTGACTACCAGGTACCCTCCCTCAAGTACAGCCTGCTCTTTCTGCCCACCCCAAAGAGTGCCTCCTTAATGGGCATCTACCTGGACCGCCTAGCCACCCCCTGGGAGCTCTCTGACAACTACACATCCATCACTGGCATGGACCTGGGCCTCAAGCAAGAATTGCTGAGGCACTACCTGGCCCAGGATACGGTATACCCCTTGTTGGCCCTGGCTGCCATCTTCCTCAGCATTGCCCTCTATCTGCGCTCCCTCTTCCTGACGTTCATGGTGCTGCTCGGGGTGCTAGGCTCCCTGCTGGTTGCCTTCTTTCTTTACCGAGTGGCCTTCCGCATGGCCTACTTCCCTTTCATCAATCTGGCGGCCCTCGTCCTGCTCAGCAGCGTCTGTGTCAACCATACCCTCATCTTCTTCGACCTATGGCGCCTCAGCAAGAGCCAGCTGCCCTCTGGGGGGCTGGCACAGCGTGTGGGCCGCACCATGCACCACTTTGGCTACCTGCTGCTGGTCTCAGGCCTCACTACGGGCGTGGCCTTCTATGCCAGCTACCTGAGCCGCCTCCCGGCTGTGCGCTGCTTCGCCCTCTACATGGGCACTGCTGTGCTGACGCACCTGGCGCTCACGCTGGCCTGGCTGCCCTCCTCTGCTGTGCTCCACGAGCGCTACCTGGCGCGCGTCTGTGCGTCCCGGGCGCAGGGCCCGTGGGACGGCAGCGCCCCCCGGCGGCTAGCGCTGGCGCTGCACCGGCGGCTCCGCGGTCTTCGGAGGGCTGTGGCCAGTACCTCGCGTCTGCTCTTCCAGCGCCTACTGCCCTGTGGCGTCATCAAGTTCCGCTACATATGGATCTGCTGGTTCGCTGCGCTGGCGGCAGGGGGCGCCTACATCGCCGGCGTCAGCCCGCGCCTGCGGCTGCCCACTCTGTCCCCACCCCGCGGCCAGGTCTTCCGGCCTAGCCACCCCTTCGAGCGCTTCGACGCAGAGTACCGGCAGCAGTTCCTGTTTGAGTGGCTGCCTGAGGGTGAGGGCGGTCACATGCCTGTGGTTTTGGTGTGGGGCATCCTGCCTGTAGACACTGGCGACCCCCTGGACCCCCGCAGCAACAGCTCACTGGTGAGAGATCCTGCCTTCTCGGCCAGCGGTCCTGATGCCCAGCGCTGGCTCTTGGCACTCTGCCATGGAGCTCGGAATCAGAGCTTCTTTGGAACCCAGCCAGAGGGCTGGCCCACTCTATGCTTCATGGAGGCCCTCCAGCGCTGGATGCAGAGCCCCAGTTGCGCCCGCCTGGGGCCTGGCCTCTGCTGTGGTCATTCTGACTTCCCCTGGGCACCCCAGCTTTTCCTGCACTGCCTCAAGATGATGGCTGTAGAGCAAGGCCCCCATAGCACCAGTGACCTGGGACCCCGGTTCAATACCCAGGGCAGCCTGGTGGCACTGGTCCTGCAGTTCCAGACCAACTTCCAGTACAGTTCAGACTACAGCCAGGCCCACCACTTCTACACTGAGGTCAGCCACTGGCTGGCAGCAGAACTGGGAAGAGCACCTTCTGGCCTCCGCCACGGTTGGTTCACTAGCCGCCTGGAGCTGTACAGCCTGCAGTGCAGCCTGAGCACTGAGCCTGCTGTGGTGTTGGCGCTGGCTCTGGCACTGGCCTTTGCCACACTGCTGCTAGGAACCTGGAATGTTCCACTTAGCCTGTTCTCTGTGGCAGCTGTGGCAGGCACCGTACTGCTCACTGTGGGGCTCCTGGTTCTGCTCGAGTGGCAGCTCAACACTGCCGAGGTCCTCTTTCTCTCTGCCTCTGTGGGCCTCTCTGTAGACTTCACTGTCAACTACTGCATCTCCTATCACCTGTGCCCACACCCTGACCGCCTGAGCCGCGTGGCCTTCTCGCTTCGCCAGACCAGCTGCGCCACCGCAGTGGGGGCTGCTGCCCTGTTTGCAGCCGGTGTACTCATGCTGCCTGCCACAGTGCTGCTCTATCGCAAGCTAGGCATCGTCCTCATGATGGTCAAGTGTGTCAGCTGTGGCTTTGCAAGCTTCTTCTTCCAATCTCTGTGCTGTTTCTTTGGACCAGAGAAGAACTGTGGACAGATCCTCTGGCCTTGTGCCCACCTGCCATGGGACACTGGAACTGGAGGGCCTGGTGAGGAGAAGGCAGGCTGCCCACGACCGGGGCCAGTGGGAGGAGCTCTTGTGTCCTGCTCAGAACAATACGAGCTACAGCCCCTGGCCCGGCGCCGGAGCCCCAGCTTTGATACCAGCACTGCCACCAGCAAGCTGTCCCACCGGCCTTCTGTGCTCTCTGAAGACCTACAGCTGCACGATGGCCCCTGCTACCCCCGGCCCCCATTGGCCCCTGCCTCCCCAAGAGAGCTGTTTCTGGACCACCAGACAGTCTTCAGCCAGTGCCCAGCCCTGCAGACCTCCTCCCCCTATAAGCACACCGGCCCCAGCCCCAACACCAGAGCTAGGCAGGACTCTCAAGGGCAGAAGGCCAAGCCCGGGCAGGCCTCACCCAAAGCCACAGACCACTCCCCCAAGCCCGAGGCTGTGGAGCCTCCTGATTGCCTCTGCTCCTCAGCCAGTACCCTGGAGGGGCTCAGTGTCTCTGATGAGACCTGCCTAAGTACCTCTGAACCCAGTGCCCGTGTACCAGATTCCATGGGTGCCTCCCCAGAGGACCTGGACAAAACTGAGCAAACAATACCTGAGCGTGGCCAGCTGAACAGGAAGCGGGACACCCTGTGGCTGGCACTGAGGGAGACCGTGTATGATCCATCACTGCCCGCCTCCCACCAGAGCAGCTTGTCCTGGAAGGGCCGTGGGGGACCAGGGGATGGCAGCCCTGTGGTGCTGCCCAACAGCCAGCCAGATCTGCCAGACGTTTGGCTGCGCAGGCCCAGCACCCACACTTCAGGCTACAGTAGCTGAGGGAGGCCCCGGGAAGACAGACCAGGCACAGAGTCCGTCAGGGATGACAAGGCAGGGGCAGCACCAGGCTGGAGCCTGATGGTGCTTCCCCACATCAGCACGGAGCAGTCTCACCCTCCAGTTGTGGATTTGAAATGCTGCCAGATGTTCCCATCCTGGTCTGAACTGCTGCTTACTCCCCTTATCTGGAGGATCCAGTGGGGAGGATCTTTGGCAGGAAACACCAAGCCCTCCTTGTGACCTGCTGAGGGCTCATTTGCCCCCACAGCTCCAACCAGGACCCACCCTCTGGAAGGGGGAAGGCCAGATATATAGCTCCAGGTATGAGGGGCCAAATGGCAAGAATTTCAGTGGGACTAAGGGACATGTGTCTTGAGACCCTGTCAGGATACCTCACAACTGAAAGAGCCCTGGGGAACCTCGGTAGCCTCCTGGTCCTCATACCTTTCAGGGACTCTTTCATCAAGACACTTCTTTTACTTTGGGGAGCATCTCTAGGCCAGGATTGGGCTGGGGCCTCTGTCCTGAATGCCCAAACCCCTCATGCTTCCAAGGCAGATGAGAAATTCATCAATGCCAGGCTTGGGGGTGAAGCAAGAGAAGAAGGGATGGTCAGCTTCAGAGCATCTCCAAATTGCAGGATGGCCCCTCATAGGAAGCAACTCTGGCATTGGGAGATGCCGCCCCTGTTAACAAACAATAAGAATCCTCTACATCCCTGCATTTTTTAGGTTACAGAACACTTGGGCAACCATGGTGTCCCTTGGGTCTCACCACTTTGCTCTGGGGCAGCCTGCAGTTGGCCATGTCCTTTATCTCCAGTTTACAGGTAAAGATGTTGAGACTACATAAGGTCAAGTGATTTATCCGAAGGCACATACATAGCTAGTAAATGGCAGAACAGGGTTCCTGACTCACTTCTTGACACATGTTCCTCCTGGCTTCCTGCCCCAAGGCCACTGGCCTCTGACTGTCTTGATCTTTTCACCCCTGTCTCCTTGCTGTTGCCACCTGCCTTGGCAGGTGTCTCTGAGTAAATGCCCCTCTCCTCTTTAGGTTGCCATCTCCAGAGAGAGCTACCCTGTGAGCAAACCAGAGCTCCTCCCCATTAAGCCTGGGCTTCCCCCGGACCCAACTGAGGCCCCTACCAGCAGCCATGGGGCATCCTGGCTGCTCTGATTCCCAGGGTTAGGTGTAGGGGCATGCATCTGCCAGGCCACAGTGTAGGGAGAGCCCCTACCAGGAGAGGCACCAAGGGCAGTAAAAGTTAAGCAGAATTCAGTTAAGGCAGGAGCTCAGGCCTGCCCTTTTTAGGAGTGTGTGTTCCCTAGGCAGGGGTCCCCATCTTTATAAGGACAGGTCTCTTGGGGGCCACTCAGCAGACCAAGGGCTGACTCCTCCTCCCCAAAGCAAAGAGTCTTTCTGGAAGGGTTTATCCCATGTGAGCTCATGACTCTGGAAGCATCAAGTTTACTCAACACCTACTCTGCATAAGGACTACAAGGGGACAGAGTCATTGAAGGAAAATGGAACATCTGCCTCAAGAAGCTCACCATCCAGCTAGGGATACAGTTCACACATACCTGCAGGCATCAGTGGCTCACGGATGGTACTGCACAGTGCACGCTGAGGGCCCTATGCCTGTCACCATTTGTATTGCTGGAACTCAAATACTCAGGACTGGGTAACCAGGAAGACTTCCTAGAGGAAGAACAGCTTGAGCTGGGTTTCTGAAGTCCCAAGTATCTCAGACTAGAAGGGACTTTAACTATCCCTTAACCATTCCAGTGGTTTTCAAACTTTGTTGCCTCAGGACCCTTTCTTCAAAGAATCTTTGTGTGGAAACACAGTATACAAAACAGATAAAAAGCAGCTATTCTAGTAATGCCAGGGTGGGGGGAGTACAGAGCCAACTCAGCCTCCCTTTCTACACCTCTTAGGGGGCCCAGGGAGCCCCTCAAACTCCTGGCACCTGTACAGAATGTGGTGTGAAAACCGCTGATCCAGGCTGTTTTATAGATGAGTATCCCAGAGGGGAAAGGATTTTTCTAGAGCCAGTGTGTGGCAGAGCTGGAGGCAAATCAGGGGGTGCTTTTTTCCCGCTATATTGTCAAGGTGTCCTATCACCCACCTCAAGTAGCCCTTGAGAAGTGGGGCAGAAACACAAATGAGACGCAAGACTTGTTGAAGAGACAGAAGACAATGGGCAGGAATGACAGGACACAGTGGCTCTTTTGCAAGGTAAAAGTAAATCAAACCCATTTGACTCCTGACACCAGGAATGGGAAGCAGTGACTAGGACCTAACTTGGACCTGTCCCCCTGCAGTCTGCTGGGACCTCTCTCTCTTCATGTCCAAGTGGAACTCAGCCTCTCTGGCCTAGGGCTGGTCATCAGGGTCCTGGCCTCTCTGCACCATGACCATGTCCTCTTGTTATTACACAGCAAGGGCCAGAGAGCCTTGGTCTCATCTGGGACAATCAAAGACAATGTGACCCCTTCTTCCTGAGCATGATCAGAAGTCTGGCCTCAAAAAGAGAGGCCAGCATCTTCGTTGCTTGTCGGTAACTCATCGAGGCTCCTCTGCCCCAGGTTGTAGGAGGGCAACAGGGACCTGGACCAAAAGGACCTACTCCTCCACACCCTCTTTTGTGTCTTGCAAATGGAGACATTGGTGTCTGGAGACAGAGCTTCAAAACCTTTGCCTGAACACAATTGAAATGTTACATTATTTGAAGGGTGGGTGGGGTGGGCATCAGAGATTTAGGCACAACTGAGGGAATTTCTGGGTCCCATTCTGGCAGGCCATGGCCACATAGCCCTGCAGGAAGGCAGATGAGCCAGAGAAGCTGAGGAACCGACTGGATTTGTTCTTTATACCTGCAGGCCCCAAGAGCTAGGAGAACCCAGTGGTGATCTAAAACATCATGTCACACCTACAGTGGCCCAAACCAACAGCAGACAGTCCAAATCAGAGGGTAATCCAGCCTGCCTCTCTAGTCCCAACTTCGGAAAGTAGGATTCAAAGCATGTTCTATTTCCTTTGGGTATTAGCAGATCTGTTCACTTTATTATTATCATAGGTGGTTACAGTAACTGTATGGTTCTGAACACTCGTGGAAAGAGGCTCAGAAGCATATTGTGAGACAGGGAAAACCAGTCAGAGCCTCACATTTGCTCTGGAAAATTCAAGCAATGGTTTCTTAACACTGAGACACTTTAAAATAGAACTGTATCAATGTTCATTTGGGAACTGAGGTCATTGCTCTAATTTGTGCCACAGATCCTTGAACTTATAAGTACATGTGGTGTATCTTTTTAAAATGTAACTTGGTACAGTTTGTTCCTATAGGAAAATCCATTCTCCCATGGCTGTGGTGTTTGGTGACAATGTTAGACAGAAATTGATTTGACTGGCAGAATCAGATCTTACTGGCACGTGGCATATCCCATACCATGATATTTAGGCAATATCCCAGCTTGAGCCTGATTCTGAAAGACATCTCACAAGAGATCTATAAGCTAAACTTCCCAGCCCCCTCCAACTCATTCTATTCCTCTCCCAGTGTGTTACAGGATAGGGAGGCAGGTGAGGGGTATCAGGAAAGAGGATATGTTGGTTTACAACCACCCGTTAGCTGGAGAGTTTCTGATCTTCCATGGTGGCCCTACCTCAGCCTTTGATAATACATGTGGGCAATGAAAAATTCTCTAGTACCCCAAGCCATACGTCAAGATCCCATTTTCTTGGAGACAGGAAAAACAGACATTCCTTTCCCTTGTTCACAAGGAGGACTGTAACTCAAGGTTTGGAGCTGTTTATGTTTTTAGGTCCAAAAAATGTAACTCAATTCACTGGGAAGATAAGCAAAAGAAAGTCACTATGTGCTATGTAAATGGTTGGCTATCCAAAGCCACCCTGTACTGAAGAGCCCTAGAAGGACCTTGATAAACTTTTAATTATTATCAGGCCTCTGTGTGATTATTCATGTTATACCTCAACAGAGAGAAAAGATTAGCACTCTACCAAATTCACAGGCAAGAGCTTCAGTATTACTAAAGAAACACCTGCAGCTGGGCAGAATGATATAGATTTGAATTTTTGACCACCAACCTCAAGTGGACCCCCAGCCCTGCCCATCTAGTTTCCATTCTAGTCACTAGTTTCCATTCTTTGTAATGACCATTTAATATTTTCCCTACCTTCTGAAAACATCTGATGCTCTCCACTTCCCTGTTCCCCAACTTTCTGTAGATGAAACACTCATTTTTCATAAGAAACTGGAGCCATCAAATAGAAATGTCCTCATCTTCAAGGCATCAAGTCCCCAACTTCCCTACCCCTTCTCCTGCTTCTCCCCCCATCCTTTCTATTACAAGGAAGGAAGCAGTAATGACTCCATTAATGGCTTCACACACTTTGCATCACAGGTCTTCAGACTAGGGCCTGCATTCCCATAGGCACATGAGCACTTTCTAGAAGGTAGGTGGACACAAACAGTTTTAAGGAAATCAGTTTCCAGAGCTTCCTCCTTCATATGTTCCTTCATATTGATGAGCCTACGAAGAAGCCTTAGGTCAACTAGTTCTCCTTTCCAGCCTCCTCTTTCCCAGCTGACCCTCTCCTTCATTTTGAATACTACTCTGACACCTTGCTCTGCAATATAAAAAAAAAATGAAGAACTACTTTAGATTCTGTGCTTGAGGAAGTCCTTAAGAGAGCAAAGCCTAAGAGCTTTCAGGAGTAATTTCAAAGGTGGTAGCCTTATAGCTCAGTTCTCTGCCTTCTCCATTTAAGAATTCAAATTCAAAAGTGAGAGGTTGATATGTTATGCATATTAACCATATTTATTTGAGTTGAAAACAAAATCAGATTTTCTAATAGAAAGTCATTCTGATCTGGCTGATGGGTTTGACAGAGAGGACCAGCTTTGTCAATAGGATACGTGAGATAGGGTGGACATTTTTCAAAAATGAAATCAGCAGCTCCATGGTTTGAACAAAAATGCATTTAAAGTATATATACAACTTGCCCTTCCAACCAAGATGGAGTAGCTGGGACCAGATTTACTCTCCTACCTGAAACAACCAGCCAAACAGAAATAAATCAATGAAACAACACTTTTCAAGACAATGGACATCAGGCAACAAAGGACCGTGATCCCTGAAAGACAAGACACAAATGAAGTGAGCCCCATGATTGCCCCAGCTTACTGCTTGAGAGAGTCCCCAGGACGTATTTTAGGGAGGGAAACCTGAGCCATGCAGACTCCCTGAGCTGAGGAGGTAACTCAGAGTTTGGGACAACCAAAGTAGCTAAAGTGCTCAGGACAGAGCTGGAAATTTAGGTACATAGAAAGAAAAGAACATAGAAAATTCTGGAAATCTGCAAAGGTCCCCCCACTCCCTTGAATATTCAGCAGAGCCCCACTTATCATATAATTGTGAGGAAACCGTTGAGACCAAGGAAAGAAAAACCCAAAATGATTAGATGGAACAGTAGCCAGTAGTCACAGTGCCTGTTCCTATTAGCCAAACTAGAAAACCTCAAACCTCATAATTTATGGAGCTTTGGTTAGAGTTTTCAGAAGGGTCTTACTTCGGTAATGGGGACTCACTAGCACTAGTTTAAACACAGCTCATTTCCACCTAACAAACGTTAAAAGCAAGACCTGAAGAGATCAAACTGTTTTTAAGTAAAGTAACTGCATGCCAAAATAAACCTCAAGAATATTTACAGGAATAGAAAAATAGCCAGCACCTAAAACTGTAAAATTCACAATGTCTGAGGTCTAATAAAAATTTGACCAGTCATGCAAAGAAGCAGAAAATACTGACATTAACCCAGAACTGACCCTTGATGTGAGAATTAGAAAAGGACATCAAAACAGTTAATTTAACTGTATTCCATATATTCACGTAGCTAAGTAGAGACTTGGGAGATTTTTTTTTTAAATACCCAAACTGAACTTGTAGAGATGAAAACTAAAATGTCTGGGATGAAAAAATCACTGAATGGAATTAACAACAGTTTAGACACTGCAGAAAAATGATTAGTGAAGTTGAAGGCATGGCAATAGAAATTATCTGAAATGAAACATCAAAAGTAAAAAGAATTTTAGAAATGAATAAAGAGAATACACAACATATGATAGGTAGAAAGCAGGCCCTTTATAAATATCTAAAACTTCAAAAAAATTTAGGTATCAACTAAAAATGAGTGGGAGGGTGCACTCTTTTAAATTTATTTTGTAAGGGTACATGAACAAGAGTTTGAAGATGCTACTCTAAATCTTGTCTTCTTTCCCCACTTTCTCTATTATTTTGCTCCTTTGACCATCTCTTCTCCCCACTGAGGGTTCCTCTCCTTCCTCTCAGCTGGCTCATTCCCATCAGCACATGTATCCACTAGTACCTGCATATTTGAGAAAACCCTTCTTGACCCTCACAACCCACCTCCAGTTATTGCCCAATTGCTCTATTCCATTCACAAACCCTAGAGTCTGCATCTGCCACCTCTGCTTCCTTATCTCTCATGTGCCTCTTACCCAATTCACTGTGGCTTCCATTCAAACCTCTCCACCAGAATTCCCCTTGCCAATGACTTCTTTAATGCTAGATTAAATGGACCATTTAGTTCTCATGTTGCTTGCACTTTCAGTTATCTTCAGTAGTTTACTACTACCTCCTCAGCAGTTTTCCACTTCCTCCTTCTTGGCTTCTAGGACACCACCCTTCTTTTGTTTTCTTCTCACTTCTCTGGCACCTCTTTATCAGGTTTCCTGGCTGGCAGCCTCTTCTCATTGAAACTTCAAGTGCTACTGTCACTGTCCTTGGCCCTAAAGCTCTCTGTACTCTTTTTCCCTCGGTGATCTTGTCCAATATCTTGGCTTTTTTTTTAATGCATCCGTAAGAGTATATGTATCTCCAACCCAGAATCTCCTCTGGTCTCAAAGCCTGTATTTCAAACTACCTACTTGACAGCTCCACTTGAATATCTCAGAGGCATTTGAAGTTTACTATGTTCAAAACTGTACTCTCAGTCTCCCCCCAACACAAAATAGTGACTCTATCCATACAATTATTCAAGCCTAGGAAGTATCCTTAAGATCTCCCTCTCTCTTACCTCTCCTTCCCCCTGAAATTCTACCTCCAAAAGCTGTCTTAAATGTGTCTGCTTCTCTCCACCTCCATTACTACCACCACCATCGTGGCCAAGCCACCATCATCTTTCACTTGAATGCTAACAGTAGCCTCCCAACTGTCTCTACTAGTTTTACTCTTGCCTCCCTTCAGTCCATCCCTGTGGAGTAGCCAGAGTGAGCATTTTAAAATATAAATTGAATAGCACTCTCCTGCTCTAATATTTCAATAACCTCCCACTATTCTTAAGATCTTAAAATCTAAAAGGCCATATATGACAAATCCACAGCCAACATTATACTTAACAGTGAAAAGCTGAAAGCTTTTCCTTTAAGATCAGGAACAAGACAAGGATGCCTCCTCTCCCCACTTCTATTCAACATCGTACTGGAGGTCCTAGCCACGACAATCAGACAACACAAAGAAATACAAGGAATCCAGATTGGCAAGGAAGAAGTTAAACTGTCCCTGTTTGCAGATGACATGATATTGTACATAAAAAACCCTAAATAATCCACTCCAAAACTACTAGATCTAATATCTGAATTCAGCAAAGTGGCAGGATACAAAATTAAGACACAGAAATCTGTGGCATTCCT